ACGTGTCACAAAGAGACAGTCACATCATAGTCATAACATGGAGTCCTTGTAGAGTCCTTGTACAGTCCTGCACGTAGGCCATATTGCTATCTAATACTAACACGACTTTATGGAGATCGGGACGGGTGAGTGTTTTTTTAATCTTAGAGATGGTGCGGAGGTGAAAGAAGCAGGTTTGGGTGATTTTATTGATGTGGGAGCGGAAGGTGAGGTGAGAATCAAAAATGACACCAAGGTTACGGGCGGAGGGAGTGATGTTTGAAGACATGGGGCCGAGGTGGGTTTGGATGTGGGATATTGATGGAGGCGGGTTGATGAGGAGGACTTCTGATTTGGAGGTGTTGAGTTGAAGGAAGTTATGGGCCATCCAACTGTTGACCTCATTAAAACAGTCGACCACAGCAGCCAGACTTCCAGGGTCGTTTGGTCTCAGCGGGAGGTATATCTGTGTGTCGTCCGCATAGCAGTGGAAGGACACGTTATGACGGGCCATAACGTGTCCTAGGGGGAGCATAAGAAATAGAGAATAAAATGGGACCTAAAATAGAACCTTGCGGCACACCACAGGTAATGGGGGCTGTTGAGGTAAAATTACCCATGGTGACCGCAAAGGCAAATACATTAGATTACTATGCTAATCTATGTTTAATATAGCTGTCCCTATCAGTACAACAAAATTTGCATTTGTAACAAAACAAAAAAACTGGTCCTGGATGACAAATATTCAATATCTTGAACAAAAGATGGTCCAATGTTGGAGTCATGCTCCTGAAATAACCTGGAACCAAGTGGGTGGTCTGTAAGGTATAAGATTGACAAAAGAAGCATAGGCACAGAATCAATGACAGGAATATCAGACTAGGAGGGAGGAGAGGAAGGGAGTCTTTAATGCGTGGACCGGCAAAGTGTGGACAGCATCTCAGTGTAATACAATAACTCTCTCCTTCACCAACAGAAACCCCGGATTTTAGACAGCTTCACCGTGAAAAACTCTGAATGCAGACATTTGGAGTAAACAAGTCAGTGGGCTTCTCATTTTCGGGTTTTTCCTCACCAATGCTGCTTGACATTCAACAACATTCATGGATTTTATCAACATTTATGGACATTGGTCTTCCGCCCCTAATGGACCAATGGCTCAATGTAGTTTTTAATATTGCATTTGTGTTGAACCGTTTGATTCTCTGATCGTTATAGGCGAATCGACGGTTTTGTAAAGTCCTCCGAGATAACTAGTGTGATTTACAATAAAACATTAAATTAAATTGAACTGAGCATTTCCAGAATTCATTAGGCCTAGCTCTTCTTACATTCTTAAGTGTTGACATCTTATTACGTAACTTACTGAGTTATATAGGAGGCCAGATGGCGTCATTCTAAACCAAATCATGCTTTCAATCGTGCTGCTCATTCAAATAATCTATATATTTTGGAAAACTCACAATTAAATGGAAAATGTAATAACATCTGGTCAATAAAATACATCAGCTATATTCCTGAGACACAAAGGGTTTCAAACTAGAGTCAGCAAAGATAGAGCGCGTTGATAGAAGTCAGGACGACCTAAAAATGGAAGCTTGCTTTATATGCGAATCCCTGCCTGACAATGAGCAGCACAGACGAACAAAGAAATTCATTGTATTCACATAACTATATAACAGACACTAGAAACCCTGAGACTTGGACAGAGGCAAAACTGAGACAGATTTGACAGTTTTTTCAGTCTGCATTTGCATGAAATTTTTCGTGTGAGTTGATTAGAAACTAAAGATGGCAGGATTTGTCTTGCCTCTGGACGACTGAGTCAACAGTCGGCACCATTTGCGACGCGGATCCTTAAAGCCCAAACAAACTATTCAGCCGATCTAATTGTGTTTGGCTGAGCAAAATGAGCTGGTGAAATTAAAGGGTGAAATCAACGTACCAAGGGCGATGCATTTCAGATTACAGAATATATCCCAAGTTAATAAAAGCAATCAATTTAGAAATAGTTTTCAAACGATGGTGTCCTCACATGACTTCTGTTCAAACTTTTTCCCTGTACAAATCTGTGTATTCAGTTGTGTTTTAACAGCTGGATTGAAGATGTGAAGTGTGGAAGTCATCTGGCTATAAAAGAAGACAGATTTTCCACCTTTAACAAAAACCTCCCTCTCTCTCCCACTTCTCAGGTAAAGTGTCTGGGTGTCATTCTTGATAATACCCTCTCCTATTGCTGCCTTCTTTCATCTATCCCTAAAAAAACTCTACAAACTCCAATTAGTCTAAAACTGCAGCATCACACACACACTCCCTCGATCAACCACATCACCCCTATCTTACAACTGCTCCACTGGCTTCCCATCACCCACCGCTTTCAGCTCAGAATCCTGGTTCTCACCACCTTTTGCCCAAAAAGGCACCATGTAAAAATACATTATATTTTTATCTTTTAATATTAGCAGTCTGCAGGCCCAACCAGGAGCGAAAGTAGTTGCAACAAGCACATTAAATTGCCAGTAGAATGAAGGTTATGCATATTTTCTTTCTGCTGTTAGACTTAATTTAAAACCCCTTCTAGTCTTGCATAATAAAGAAAAAACGAGATGAAAATGGATTGGATGAAAAAAATCTAAAAGATATGGCAGGATGGCAGAAGACATTACTTCTTGCCAATTCTGCTAATGCTTTATTATTATCAATTGCTCATTTTATCATAATGTATTTATTTAGAAATCCTTGCAGAGTGTGTGAATGCATGCCAAATTCTGCCAAATGTCTGTTGTTACTAAGCATGAAAGACAATATTATTTTCCATTTCAATTCTGCACCATCTAACATCATAATTAAAGGCACGCCGTTGAAGAGAAAGTAATTCAACTAATTTGGAGCCAACTCTGCTGTTTTTAAAGAATGGAGCGAAACAATAACTCCAGGTGTGTGTTTTAAAATCTCTAAAATTACCATTGTTCATCATTTGTGTCCTTTAAACACATGGTTCCTGGTGACCAACTGTCCACTTGCTCATGAATGTTATCGGAGCATCCACTCTGGGCGTCTGGAGCACTCGATGCCCGCCCACCCACCAGCGACGCCATCTCCTGCTGTCGAGCGGCTAACGAGCTCTTCAGCTTCAGCCTCTTCAGCTCTGATTATATGAACACTGCGCACATATGCCGACAGGGGGCCATGGCAACTGAACTAAAACAAGAAAAGGCTAATGAAGGCTGCAGCACTTATTCCATTTGCAGGCCTTGATCATGAGACCAAATTCTTGTATGTGAGATCGCATTTATGGAGGTGAGACATGGGGTTTATCTGGTTTGTTATAAATCTTTATACACCGTTTGACAGCTATACTTAAAAACAACATCCTCATTATTATTGTAAATAGTAAAATTAAAAGTAGTCTTTCAGTCTACAAAAACAACCTTTCCAGTACCTTTAGTTACCCAAAAGAAACCTCTTGGGCCTCACAAGCTTTTTGTTAATGGATTTGGCTCTCTGACAAAAATGGCCTAGTATGTACTATCCACAGTAAAGCTTTAACACAATCAAATGACTGCACATGTTAAACTTAAGAGTGGAAACCTTTTAAAAATGGTGATGTGCTGGAAAAATGCCATTTTGAGTCTGTTCACTGGAATTGGTTCATATTGGGTATTGGCAGATGTTGAAAGCCAAACCATTGCCATCCATGAGGAGCAATCTGAATATGTGTATTCTTGGTCCAATATCAGATGTCAGTCTACACCAGTTACGTGCGATCAGGGGAGGCCGGTGAGGCAGGCAATCAGGAAAAAATTAAAAAAGGACACAATAATACTAGGTCACTATTTACCAAGTGATTTGTGTCGTTTTATTATTGCTATGGAACTTTGCCTTGTTTTTACCAAACTGTGAAGCGAGCCTCACTTGGGGACATGTAAATGACCATAGCCCACAGTGGGAGGAGCCCGTGCAGAGCAATCCTCTGTTCAGTTTTTTGTTTATCACTGTTAGAAAGAGATAAACGCAAACACTGCTAGAAAAACCACCACGTGAGCCCAGCCTCAAGGTAAGAGGCGATCGTGAGCTCAGTATTCGACTGCAACCGATTCCACTAGAAAGCCTCTTTGCTTGTTCTTTCTCTGCAGCTACAGATTTTACGTACATGCCACACATTTCAATACTTTTTAAAATCCCCTTAGGGTATTGTTATGCTTCCAATAACAATAGGAGGAAGAGGAAGATGTTCGATTTAAGAAAACAGATGCACCGGATTACAGCTAGTGAAGGACAAGAGCAGACACCAGTTTGTTTTCACTTAAAGCTAAACTGGAATTATTTTCAAATGCAGGATTACATATCTACGCTCAAATATTATCTGGACTTAAAAATAAAACTGGTCTGAACTAGGGCTGCACGATATTGGAAATTAGAGCAGTATTCGATACGAGTCTTTAGTATTGCAATAAATATATTATTGCAATATTTTTGTGTCGCCTAAACTTGCAATCTGCTTTGAAACGCAAGAAACAAATAACAAAACATGAATGACCTCCAAATGCATATATTTATATACTTTTTTGTTTGCTGTTCTTGTTGAATGTTGATGTGTCTGTTTTGTTGTATTTGATAAAGAAAAAAAAATAAAATAAAATTGTGCATCTTTTCGATATGGATATTGCACGCACCAATATCGCTTTAAGAATATTTTTTTGATATATTGTGCAGCCCTAGTCTGAACTGAAGTGCTTTATGGAGTTCATTTATAAGGTAAGGCATCCCATAAAACAATTTTACATCTGCTTTTCACACCCTATATCACAATACCGACATGAAACATTCCACAATTGCACAAATTGTAAATAAGCCGCTCTGTAGGGATTTACAAGTCAGTTCCTCACCAATCACCAACCTCACCGCATGTCACTGGTCAACACAAGCTTAAGAACTATCCTTGAATCAGATGTCGAGATAGCAAGAGTTTAACAGCCAATTGTTTGGGGTGTAATTAAATGTGGCATTGTGGCCAGTACCTGTTGGGTCTTTGAAAACTGCTTTGGCGTCGGTGTGAGTGGGGACAAGGCTCTTGAGCAGCACAGCCATGTTTGGCACTTTGTTTTTCACCAGCTGTTTTAGAGCAGCCTGCGAATACACAGCACAAAAAGCAATTAAGCAGAGTATTGATTAACATTGTCACGTTTGTGTAGCAGAGATTAATGATAATAAAAAGCACAGAACATGCTCCAGCGTCATTTCTATTTCTGTTGTGTTTAAGCCACAAGAACTTTCTTACTGTCAAATTCAAACCATTTATAACACTTTTGAGTTTATATTACATGACTTTGTGCTAAAGGATTATTTCCCCAGTTCACAGTGAAGCACATTCACATAGTTCTTGAAGTTATAACTGGGGAAAGGGGCTTCATGTTAGGGGCTTTTCACCTGCTTTGGGGGCAGGTCTGTCCCAGTCCCAAGAACTCGCTTGGTGGCAAGTACACCAGACAAATATTTTTCTGGCTGAAAGAAAAGTTTACCAATCCACAAAAAACTAATTATTTGTGCTAATTAAAAAAATCTAATATGTGTGATGAGAGATGAGCATTTATAACCATATCTAGCCTCATTCAACCTCTATGGACATAACAAAGGAACCACTTCTTTGTACTTAAAGAGACAGTATGTAATATGCACTCTTAGTCTAATCTAATCAAGTCATTACAATCCAATTTTTGTTGCCACAATCTTCCTGTGACACATGAAGCTCCTAAGCATTGATTACTGATGCAAACCACTACAAATCGTACTAACTCCATAATCCATGACCTGATTTCATATTAAAGTGTGTGATGGTAGTTTGTGTTTGTGAATTTTGTAGAGCCAGCTACATTTCACAAACTGGCAACTCAAATGGGAGACTCAGACTCATAAACATACATTATAAGTACATCATGAACACTGAATACTAAACCCATACTCAAGAATAAATTAAACGGTTGTTCAGAAAAGTATGCAATTAAAAATTCAAATATTACATACAATCTCTTTAAATCCACCCATCTAGTTCTCTATCTCTTCAGTCCTACTCATTGGGGGAATCGAGGCGGGCCCAGGCCACCTGAGAAACCTGGGGTTGAGAGGTCAACTAAACTTGTTCGCCATGACTATAAATGATACACAGAATCTTTCAAGTTTGCATACATGTATATTATCCAGTGGGGGAGGGTCCCAGCTCAAAAGTGGCCAAAATGATGTGCGCTGACATGCTTGCAATACCACCCCGGGCCGATGGGGGTGGACCCAGAAGTAGAATTAGCCAATGCTAACATATAGCATTGGCAGACCTCTCAAAAACGTCTTTACAGGATGGACCAAAAGTTGGCTCTTGGCCCAAAGCTCCGTTCCACATGTGTGTCAATGCTGAAGGGGGTGGATTTTTTTGGTCCACTCTAGTTTACTTGCTGTGAATTTTTTAAGTCTCTCGTTCAAATGAATGGAGCTGCGCCGGCTGACGCATGCGGAGATGCGTTTTTTCACAATTTTCTTGTGGGCGGGACCACTCGCGGCCATTTCGGATTGCTCCAGTAGAGCAAATTTTTTGGCCCATTAGTTAGAACGGCAGAGATAGGCGTGACTCTGTCCATTAATATATACAGTCTATGATATTATCCCACAACTATTGTAATTAATTTAATCCTCCTTGCTTCTGAGGTTCAAATTCTGAATTGTATCAACCAACAATGACACTAAAAGCATTTTCTGATTTGCTTTCATATTTACAGGGTCATCAACTATGAGACCATTAGCATCGAAAAACGTGTTCTTCGTTCTCTGCTAACACAAGAGGAACGAGTAAGGTGTTGAATGTGAAAACAGTCAATTACAGAGCTAAGCGTGTAAAAAAGCCGCTGAGGCAGTTTAGTTATTGCTGTTGACGTCTTCCTGAGCTACGCCCGCAGACACAGATAAGCCTCCATTCAGGAGATTTCAGTGTTTATAATCACAAGCACCTCCTGTTCGTGACATAATTCATTCTGATTATGACAATAGAACTCCAGCAGAGACACACGGTTACATCAACATCAGATGAATAACATAGGAGCTGAGTGGCCTACATAATGACTCATTAAAGCGAGGTAAACAATTTATCTGCGACGCACACCACGGGACCAACAGGATCGGGACAGAAGTGCGATGAGTGACGGTAACTGCGCTTGACTATTTGTTTCATTTTTTCAAAACTGTATATAATCAAGCTTTCTAACCATCATCCACATTTACTTATTTCAGCATGTTCTCTATGTGAAATCCTTCAGTGTCCACATTTTAATTAACATTTTGATTATTTTAAAAAGTAGACAAAGTTGAAATAATTAAAGTATAATAATTGTTTCGTTGACTAATGTGCTTCTTTTTAACCCCTTATAGACTCATTCCCTCTACACAGTGGTAATAAACTACTACTGTAGCCACAGCTGCCCTGGGGTTGGCTGACAGAGGCGTGGCAACCAGTATGGGCCATTGGTCCTTCCAAAAACCTGACATCATTCACACACACGCCTGCTTAGTTTCAGAGATTTGACAGGATCAGGCTTTCACATGCAGGTGGTGCCACATTACAAATAAGCACTGAGTAGTAAAATAATAGACAACATTTGGAAATTACAAGAGAAAGCTTTTGTCGACCTGATTTTGAGTTAAGTGCAATGCTGTATCAGAGTTCAGAATCATGTTTTTTTATGTTGCATCTTTGTGTGAAAAATGCTTTATCGATAAAGACTGATTGATTATTTCATATACATGTATTTGCCATCATTGCAATAGAACACTACAGGTATCACAAGATCCTGCATCATTTGTGACCGTTTAATCTTGCATCATGTACATCCTTGAGCGACACCCTGTAGTTTACCTTACGCATCACCATGACAACACTGTAGGTGTGGAGGAAGCAGGATGGGTTCCTCTCGTCCAGACCCATCTCAGACTTCATAGATCTCCAGGCGGGTCCAGTGAAGTCCTCCTCCTCGGTCTGGGAGCTGGAACACTAAACATAAATTCATGTAAAATGGATTGACTTAACCTGTTGTAATCTGCAATACTGTCAATCTAGAAACAGACCACTTTCATTGTTTCTTGAAATGTTTGGAATAAATAAATGAAATAAATGTATTTATTATGTATTGAATGTATATGATTTCAACAGAATGGGGCAACCAAACTTTCAAACCACAAAGATGTCACTATGTAATCAAATCCAACAAACTCATTCCTGGATTTAAAACAGTTTGGTTCCATCTCTAGTTTTCACATGAATCCATTTTTCCCCGTCACATCTTTAGCTGACAAACAATTTTTTTTATTTATGAATTAAAAAAAGGTAATTGTCTACAAAAAAGTATACAATTGATTTAGGAAAAGCAAGACAAATGCACTGATTGTCCCAACGCCCACTGCTGACGGTTTCCAGACTCATATTACTTTGCCACTTTCTTAAAATCAGATGACACATTTATTTTACCGCAATCTGGGACTCCTTATGCAATCATCTTTGTCGACGCCAAACAACTGAGGAAAAATCTGAACATTATATTTTGGCAACTTTACGTGCAAAGTGTTGTGTTATAACAACTGTACCCTCGCATTACCGATGGTGGTTGCATTGATATGGTTTTATTACCTGGCTCGGTGACCTGGCCACTGCACCGTGAGCTGGTGTGTTGGGGACAGAGACCACTATGTCATCCAGGCTCTGACCCTGCGGCTGAGACGGAAAAATCCAATTATTAAATTGCACCGAGGTGGAAGAACAGACATATAACATAAAGATCTATTCGACACTTATTCCATTAGAGTCCACAAGACAAAAGCTTGCAAATAAAGGAGCATGGCATGATTTCACTATGATAAGATTACCAATATGAAATATCTTTTAACATGTTTTTATTTTTATTGTAATGTGTGAAGATGGGCTAACATGCAAGAGTTCAAAATAATACAAGCGTGTAAGATGAAATATGTGTAAGTATATTTAATTTCATATTGATTCTCAAGTATAGTATTATGTATGCCCACAAATATTTTTCTGTCTTAGTTTTGTCTCAAATTAATTCCTCAAGTAATTCCTTTCAAGCACTCACACGTGCATCCAAGGGCTATGTTAAATGTATGTTAAGTGCAAGTTCACCCCAAATTTTCCACTTCCAATTAGGGTCTACATTTCTGAAAAAAAAAAAAAAAAGATTCAAGAGCATAGGTACGACACTCACATTAAATGTTGATACCATTTTTGATTAGCTGGAGAAAAGAATAGATCGGAAAAAGAATAATTTCCATGCAATCATAAGGATTCATACAAGTTTTTGTGGTAAGGTTTAAAATGGATGAAGATATGCAGAATGTTATATGAATATTTCTAGTATCGATTCTTGCTGACTCACATTAGCATCTTGTTTCGGTACAAGGTTTAGCACTCTATATTCAACATTGGGCTACGCTAAGATCAATACAGCATGTGTAGGGGAGAGGTGTAGGTTCAGACAGTGTTTAGGTCTGTGTGTTGCGAATGTTAGTTTTTTTTCTGTCTTGTTGTGTATATAAGTTTGAAATAAATAATCACAATACTAGGATACAGACCTGTTGCGGTAGAAGTCCAGCTGGCCCCGGGAAGCGTCTCGTTCTGGCCCGGTTCAAATCAGAGCGAGGCCTTTTCTTTGAATTGGAGGCGGAGACCAACTGGACCAGTCGGTTTGTCAGCACCGGAGTGTGGAGGGGTGATGGGGGCATGGATTGAGCAGGAGGTGCAGGGGAAGCAGACTCAAACAGGCTCCGGTTGTGGTTGGACGTTACAGGGGTCGAAAACGTCGGTCTTTGCATATTCTCTGGTGCTCTTCGTAAACATGGAGAAGCAGCTGTGAGAGCTGAGAAGACACCAGGACTTTGAGGGGCACAAGGACGACGTGGGGACTGGATCAGAGCAGTGGTCTGACAAGAACTTAGTTTGGATCGAGATACATTTCCACTAGAGGACGACGGGAGGGTTTGGTTACCATTGAAAGCGAATCGAGAAAGATTGTTTATCCCATTAGGTAATGCTGTGTTTTGGCAATTTTTATTAATATTAATGTGATTAGAAATATTTCTCAGTCCATTCTTTACAGTTTGATTACAAATACTTGAACTGGGAGTTGGTCGAGAAATCTCACTAAATCCACTCCTTGCTGCAGCATTGAGAGGTTGCAGTGCATTCACCGAAGCTGGAGCCGTAGATTCCTGTTGAGGAGCAAAATGAGGTCGTGGGGACTGGCTCAGAGTGGTGGCTTGATAAGGATTTAGTTTCGCTCGAGACAGGCTTTCACTAGAGGAGGATGATGGAGGACTTTCATTACCATTGAAAGCGAATCGAGACAGCTTGCTTATGCCACTAGGTAATGCTGTTTTTGGTAGACTTTGTTTACTACTGTCAGAAAAGGGGCTGGAAATATTTCTTAGTCTTTTTGTTGCTGTTTGATTACAACTAGGTAAACCAGGAGCTGATTGAAAAACCTCCCCTAATCCACCACTAACATGAGTCACAGCAGCATTAGAGGGGCGCAGTGCATCCGCCAAAGATGAAGCCGCAGGCAGAGAGTCTTGTGGGACTGTAGTAGTGTATTTTTCTGGCTGGACTAACTGGTTATTAACGTCGTCCAGGTCTGCCAGGTCAAACTCCCAGTCATCAAAGTCATCCTGTGCCACACTGGGCTTTTGCAGTTCAGTGGTGTTTGCAGTATTTGGTTGCACTGGCAAATTAGTCTGTGCATAATTTAGTGAAGAAAGTGGGGAAAAGCTGGACAGGTGCCTGGGGTTGAAAGCAGCGGTTTGTCCAGCAGGGGCCGAGTTAGTCCTTGATGTGGTGCATTTAAACTGAGTGGCTGATCTCGCTCCAATTTCCTGAGGGCAATTTTTTTTATTCTCTTGGTGAGAAATGGAGGAAGCACGGAGCAATGAGGACGGTGCAGGAGTAGTTGCCTCTTGAACCGGATCAGAGGATGAAGAGCGAGTACCCCAGTCTGTCCCAAGTATGTCCTAGAAAAATACACATGTTAATAAAGATGATGCAAGTAGGGCATCAGTAGAGTGCCAACACTGATTTTACACCTGAAATATTGGTCTCAACAAAACGCCACATAAAATAATCAGATTTGTATTCTTTATCATAATAAGAAAAAAGCAAATAAACTATAATAATAACAGGTGCAAACACTCACCTCATCATCAAAGTCCTCACCAACACTGAACAAAGTACTCAGTTTGCTGGCCTAAAAGATAATAAAACGTATGTTAACAAAAAGAAGTGGTGAACAAATATTGCAGTAAAGGCCCGAGCTGCTTCACAGAATGTAGCTAGCATGTTAGCATAGTTAGCTCAATCAGTTTGAGTTTTCTGGCTTTCTTACCATCGCTGGAATTCAACCTCAAAACAGACAGATCTCCACGTTCGAAGCGACCACCCAGCTTCGATGCAATTCGAAAATGTGCATTCAGGCCAGTTCACTATGTGACAAGGTATTACATGCTCATCGATAGGTAAAAACTATTTTCCTGGCTTGAATGTTTGGGTCCGCGCCGCCACGTTCAAACAAGACGTGACGAGGTGACGTAACTTACGTCAAGAGAAAACTCAAGCTTTTTCTTTCTTTCGCCCATTTCATAATTATCACAAAACACAGAAAATATGATTAATGTTAAGATTCTGCAAATTTAGTATGTTTTACATTTATAAATTTAATTCCTGGTTGTAATTGATGACATCACAGTAGAGGGTAACAATTATTTTTTACAGTCTATGGATGTAACCAAACAACTGTCTAATAAAACCAATTAAACTCTTCCAATGTTCTCATAAGAATATACTTTAATTTAGTGGAGTGAATTATTTAAATGTAAAAAAGTTGTAAATAAAATGCAATGATGAATTTTGAATCTCACTTGAATCAACTTCCAGTAAAGTTTTCTCTACATTAAATAATAGTTTGTGGACTTTGAATGTAATAGATGTATATACGTATGAACATGTGTTTGCTTTTGTGATCAGAACAGATATTATTTATTTTGTTATTATCATTATCATTATTGTTGTTGTCATTATCATTATCATTATCGTTATTGTTATTATTACTATAATAATAATAATAATTATTATAATAATTATTATTATCATTATTATCATTATCATTTCATAAAAATGAATCATCTTGTTTCAATATTGCATTTCCACTTTTTATAGTCCTGTTCTTTGGCCCTATTGATAATAAGTCTGAAATAAAGAAGATAATAAGATAGTGGCCCAGTCCCAATACCCACACTGCACCCTACACACTTCTACGAAGTGTGCATTTGTTCGAAGTGCACACCAGGGTTTGAGTGCGCAGGTTACAAGTGTGCAAAAAAGGCAGAATTGGGACAGTGCACACTGAGTGCAGGTTACGTCATCGACTCGTCAAGAGATGGTCATTTTCAGACCTAAACTTTATAAACATTAAAGGTAATTTTGTCTGACCCTTTGGGAAACAAAATGAATTGCTTCACACACGTTAAAATACATGTATATTAGTTGTTTTTAATTAGAGATAGCTGTATAATTTTAAGTTAAATGTGGGTAACTAACTATCTGGTCAGTTTTTATACATTCTAAGATTATTGTACTAAGTGTAAAGTTTAAATTGAATGTTATATAAACGCTTGTTTTAAAAAGTTATTAAATTGTCAAAACACAATGTCCGTAATTCTTCATCAGACGTTTATGCTTCTTTCCAAGTAACATAGCAAAACTTATTTACACACATACAGCATATATATTTCAAAATTTATATTTAAATGCATTTTCCCGACGTTTTGATGTGTACCGCAAAGAATTATGGGCAATATCCTTCGCCAGAGTGCGCATAGATCATGGATGATGCAGGCTACGGCGAAGTGTGGATCAGGGGCGCAAAGGGGGCGGGGCCAAAGACCTCCCTGGGGACACCTACGCACTCGCACCCTTTATCGGGAACGCGCAAATGAGGGGCGCAAGGGTGGAAGTGCGAGTATTGGGACGGGGCCAGTTTTTGATCTCAGAAGTGAGACAGTTCTTCTACAGAGCCATGGGCAGTTCACGTAAGACCAACACTGCCCTTTAGTGGTCTTTCTGGTGATAGCAGGTGTCAGTTTGCATTCTGTTCTATGAATAACATGCAGGACTGTTTGGTTATGTGAACGAGACAGGCTTGTGACCGTGTGGACCAAATGAGGACTGGGAAAAGAAGGCATAAATTACGACCCATTGAGTAACTTATTTCCAGTGAAAGGTAACAAGCCGTTTTAATATGTCATGCTCATAAAGTATAAGTATGTGATTATACAAAAGAAGATGATTAGGAACTAAAAAATTGTGTTTTTTCAATTTTGTTTGATTTACTTTGTTTTGTATGTTGTGTTATGTATTTTTTAAATGCATTTGTGTTTATGTATGTATTTGTATTTATGTTGACTGGTCCAGAATTTCTTTTGATATACAAAAAAAAGAAAATCAATTCATTTAAATGTATTTCATTTAAACAGCAGTCTCCTCTCAATTGTTCAACTGAAGTATATGAAGTATGAACAAAATATGCATAGAAGTACTCAAAGCCCTTTGCAAGGTCAGCACTATGGTTTGCAATAATTATAACGATATTATTGAGAGCATACTGGACTACTATGGATGTGTACAGGGAAACAATTATGTGATTGATAATAAGATAAGATTTTATTGATCTCACAATGGAGAAAATTACATCTCACATGTGGCATTAATAGGATCGCTCACAGTGTTCAAAAAGACAGGAAATGTGCAAACAGGGGAAATGTGCAAACGTGTTGAAAAGTGAAAAAGGTAGTACTGCACTTTATCCCTCTAACTATATTACTACTGTATTGTACCAATCACTACAGATATATGACATGTACAGAAGTCAGCAGCATCATCTTTCTGCTTGTTTTTAGGTCATGTCACTTGAAAGTTTCCCCTTCACTACCACCTCGCTCCTCTTACTCAGGATGGAGCAGGAGTTCCAGGACTGGGAAGACACTCGCAGGTCACTGGCTCAGAGGAGGGAGATGAGCCGAGCCCCTTTACCCACCGCTCCGAGACCCCCACACAGGGGCCAGAGGAAAATCCAGGAGGTCCGAGCTGCTCCTCCACAAGTGCGCTGCAGAGACACAGCCATTCACAACACCTTCATGTGTGGAGACATGAAAGGTGTCTATGCCGTGCTGAAGGACCCTGCCATGGTCAACGCCCTGATGGAGACTGCGCATGAGGAGATGGTGTGGGCTCCAGAAATGGGTTTGTTTATTACGTTGAATGCAGTAGGATTTGGAGGGCCAGAAAATATGCACTATATAATAAATATAATAACTTTTATTTTAATTTTTCAAATATGATTGCATTTGAAAAAGTGTACTTAATAAATTAAACTATGTAAAAAATGTATCCGTCATAAGGTGAAATGATAGAGGACCCCAAAATGCAGGACTGAAAATAAAGTAAAACTAAAAAATCAAGAACTCAAAACAAGCAAGGGTCAAAGATGGGACAGACAATGGATGGAGAATAGTATTAATACACAGGGAGACACAAGTCGATCACATTGGGGTGGGGCAAACAAGCAATGGACAGGAAGGAGAAATCAAAAAGGCAAAACAACAAAAAAGTTCAAATAATATATGTCCACACCATGACCCCATCTTGTTATTGTTTGTTTATTTGGTTGTCTTCCTAAAGTGGCTTTTTCATACTAGTTTGTAGAAGACAATATTTTACTTTTACAAGACTCCTTCTGTTGGGACAGACAAAATGTATTTTTTATGAAACAGAAAAGTGAGGTACCCTAGCTAACACGAAATAGTTTATTGGCTGTAGTAAGAAGTTAAATATTTAGAGGTTAAATAGATTCAGAGTTAGCCATTCTCTAATTAAGCAGTACAGACACCTTTCTGGCTCTACCATGGATCTAGGGCTCTACGCATTTTCTCCATAAAGATATTACTTTTTAAAAAAATGATCAGGGAGCTATACTTGTGTTCAAAGTTGATTCAATTCAAAAGCAAATGAAGCTGCCTTGAAAGAAATTGTATTTCTGTTATTCTTTTTATGCCATGCAGTAATTTAGATTTGAAACATCCATTGTGTATGTTTGAATCCTTCTCACAGCGCTTGTGAGAGAGTGGATAGCTACACGTTGTAAACCTTCCTTGGAGATGATAAAATACGACCGACAATGCACCGGTTAATGTCATTTTTCTCCTCAGGAATGTGGACCATCAGCTCCAAAGTAAAACAGACCTCTGCCCTGCGTCTGGCATCCAGTCGGGGTCACTCTGGTTGTGTGGAGGAGCTTCTATCTAGAGGAGCGGAGGTGGATGCTGATCCCGGAGGCTGCACGGCTCTTCATGACGCCTGTGTGGGAGGTCACTCAGTCTGCGTTCAGCTGCTGCTCTCACACGGGGCCGATCCGGAGGTGGTGTCCGTCGATGGATGTGCTCCACTGCACCTCTGCAACTCCACGCAGTCCTTACAGTGAGAGAGTTTGTCAATATGCACTCTTCGATGTGGTTTACCTTATGTTTTCGAGTGTTGGTGACTTTCATTTTTGCAATGTCATAATCAATTTCTGTGGCTCTGGGGGCTAAAGCACAATTAGTTTTATCATTTTATTTGGTTATCGGAGAGGCCTGAGGCTAAGAAAAGCAACCACGCTCTTCATTTAGATGCTGTGACCAGAAAATTAGGCTAATAACAAAAATACATAACAGTGGAGGTAAACTGGATATTCTATTTTGGGAATGCTGCAAGTAAACAAACAGGAGGGGCAGGTGCTATGTGTACTGGGTGGCATCTCTGACTGTCACCCCCCCGACCCAGAAATGGATTAAGGGGAAGAAAATGGATGGATGCAAGTAAACATGACATAGTTCAAAATTGTGCGCCAAAAATGCAGCAAAGGAAGATTATTTGCAATTAAAATGAGCACTATAACTTTTGTAAACTTTAAAATATAGCCTAAAAGTGATTGTTTGGCTTTTTTGGACTTTTTTATTTCATTTTTGTAAGGGTGCAAAAAAGAAAAGCAAAATTATATATGGTTTGGTTTTTATCAGTACTTTTGCGAGCTCAAATTTCACAATTCAAGGCTCAGTTTATTTGCCATTTGCAGTGAAACCACTTTGGAATAATGTGCTCTACTAGTGTGCACTGGATCGGGCAGATTTCACACTAGAGCTCTTGCCACAGCGCCATGATTTCAGCACTTTGGATCTTTTTCAATACATGTTATCTAGATCATATCATATTATCATTTTATGTTTTGTCAACACATAATAGTTCAGTAATTTTTTTGTGATACATTTCAGCTCATGCTCACTATGTTTCCCTGTGTAGATGTGCAGAGCTGCTGTTGTCTGCAGGAGCGGAGGTAAACGTGCGGATGTCAGACTCCAGACTCAGCCCTCTCCACGTGGCGTCCCGCAGAGGTTTGGACAAACACGTGGAGCTCTTCCTCTCGCACGGAGCCGATGTTCTGGCCACAAACCAGGAGGGAGAGACGGCCTTGAACGCAGCCTGCTCTGGAGCCGAGAGGCCAGCCGAGTGGGGCCGATACATCAGAGTCGTCCAGATGTTGTTGGCGGCCGGTGCTGACCCTCAAAAAGCAGGAAAAAAGAAGCACACGCCGCTGCATAACGCCTGTGCAAACTGCTGCCCAGGGATTGCCCGCACGCTCCTGCAGAACGGAGCCAAAGCAGATGAGGTCAACAGCGCTGGATACACGCCTCTGGACTGTCTGCTGCAGGTACAGGGGGATCAGACGTCCCTATTTCACTGGGGCTGTCCAAATCTTCAGTTCTGTGCGTGTGAATGTCTGATCCTGCTGATCTCAGGGCAGTGCCTGGTTAGTGCTATGGTAGAAGACCTCTGATAATATTGCCATAGTAGGGAGGCTGCGGCTGTAAAGTGGCAAATTGTTGTTGTGTCCTTAGGCAAGACACTTCAACCTCATTGCCTAGATTGAGTGTGGTGATGTGTGAATGATTGGTGTTGGTGAAGGGCCTGACGATAGATTCCTTGCTTTCATCACTCCAGCATCTTTGAGTCTCAGGAAAAGCACTATACAAACAGATGTATTATTATGTATCAGTTGTCCCTTTTTATGACCAACACAGAGCAATAGATCATAAGGTATAGTAACAAATGCTTGAGGTGGTTCTTAACAGTAACATTTCTCTTTAAAAAAACTGCATGTACAGTTCAAAAAGGGGGTTGATAAAGCAGACATGTCGTAATCTGTTACATATTATGTTCTGTATTCTGAATACTTTAAATAATTTGCACATGTTAAATTCAAGGTGGTTGAAGACTATCTTGAGCAACACCCTGAAGATATTGCACGCTGCCTTCTGAATCACGGAGCAAAACCAGTTTCACCAAAGGTGTGGAATAAATTTCAATGCTTTGTTTTGAGAATGCTGTGAATATTTACTTTTCTGTTTCATGTTTTAGACTGTGAATTAATTCTTAAGTAGATGTTATATGGATAAAAAATTATAATGGTTAAGGAATGATCGTGAGTGGTTTAACATCGCCATCTAGTGGTAAAAGTGGGAATTAACATTATTCTCTTTGGTATATATCTCAAGTGGCATGATTTGATTGAAAGCCAGCAGTTGTAAATATGTTGATTTAACTGTAGACATTCATAAGAAAAGAGAGAGAACCTTTACTGTTTGTGTTGCAGCATCGATTGCAGTAATTTTTCCTGTTTCATAGGATGTTTTATGTTAAAGTATCACATAAGTGAGATGTAATTTTTCTTGACAGATGCTTAAACTGTGTGTACTTTCTCCTGCGACTGTTGAGGTGATTTTAAACACTTACACACAGATTCCAGCGTGTGAATGGATGGACTCTCTGCCCAAGGACATCTTTGAGGTGAGTTAAAAATGTTGCCCTTGTGTCTTAAAAGGAAAAGGGCTTATACAATCATATTTTCTTCAGGAACATAAATACTTCTTGGACCTGGTAAGGGAGCAGAGTGGTCAGCCTCGCTCTTTACAGCACCTCAGTCGCTGTGCATTACGCTCTCTGTTTGGAGCCCGGTGCTTCTCTGTGGTCAGTAAAATGGACATTCCCGGCTCTCTGAAGGACTATCTGCTGCTGCACACTGACACAACTCTGAGATGAGGGAGAAAAACACAAACTTTAGGACCTCCAAACATTTGGAGCAAAGAATCTGGGTGCTTAATTACCTACCGGGAATCTTATTTTTTCATTAATTTTAAAATTCTATAATGCAGAATAAACTGGAAAGTTACATCATTGATAAAACATAATTTGTTCAATGGTCGATTACACTGTATTTAGTCATCTTAAACCACATATGCCCTAGGTGAGGCAGTGGTGTAAAAATTGAGGGTTTGCAATGGATATGATTATCCTCAATGAAATAAGTGCAATGAGAGTAATCTCAGTAGCACAGATGTTGATGAGTTCAACTCATACTTGACAAAAAAAAAATCTTATAGTTTTGGGTGAACAGGTTCTCTACAGAAGTCATTATCGGCCACCTCAAATCCGATTCTGTGAGTGATAGAGATGAAAAAACGTGTATGTGCCTGTTTTTAGAACTACTCGTCAAATCAATGGTAGTCCCATTGATTTGACGAGTAGTTCTAGATCAATTAGAAACATGCTCAAACCTGATTAAATACAAAAAATAAGAATTTCTGTGGATGAAAGAGAGTGATGCTTTGAGCACAGAGCAAGTAATGGGAGAGGTGTAGGGTCGGAGAGAATGTGAGTGTGTGTTTTTAGAATATATAGTCTATGGTTTTTAGATTGTGTGTACTGTCTTGTTTTGTCTGTCTTGTTTTGTTTCGTATTACTGGGTGTACTGTACGGCTACGTGTTTTTGACCTTTTGTATATTCTACCATTCTACTGTGTGATATTGTTATTGCATTGTATTGTGTGGAACCAGTGATATGTTTTCAAACCATTTACCATGTATGTGACTATTTTGTTGCTGTATGTGTATGATCTAAAATGAAATAATAATCTATCTATTAATTCTTAACAGGTGCATTCATAGTTGACTTGCATTTGATTTTATCCCATTCTAATTCTTGTCTCCTAGTATTCATCTACATTTATATTTATATCTGCGTTTTAAATCCTGTTTTTAATTACTTTGACATGGTGCACGTACAATTCTGACATGCACCCCAACACAACATGTCCGCCCCGCCCATTTCACGCCACTGACGTCACCGCGTGTTTGTTTTGTGGAGGCTCAGAAGGAAACAGCTGCTGCCTGCTCTGAGCGCTCTCGTCCCCCGAAATATGCTCTGATTTCTCCGCTGCCAGGTAAGTCCACACTGCTGTGCACTAAAGCTCCACGGAACATCCAGGTGCACAATTTATAACGCGCCACTAAAGCTTTTATTACACGGACCACTCTAAATAGCCGAAGGTCGTGTTTAGCTAACAACTTAAGCTAGCATGTTAGTTAGCCACCGCCGCTAGCTGCCTCTTCCACTGGTAAGGATCATGTAATTACCTAACAATACTGGCGTTGTTGTAAAGTCTAGCGTTTATCCTAGACAGTGTAAGGTTATTTGGAGGAGAGATCGGGCTGTACCTTAATTGATCCATGGGCTTACAAGCTGCATTGCTGCTGATCAATGCAGGTATCCTCATACATATGTATAGGTTAATGCATCAACAATTAGACAGAATATGTGGACGTTGAGTATTCGCTAAAACAGCAAAGGCTATTGCTCGTCCATTTTAATATTCTCTCAACATTGTTTTATCTATGTATTATGTATTAACTTAAAATGACTTCTTTCTCTGAATGGCTCTCCTTTATCTTGGGCCATGTGTTGAAGCAGACCTTACATTATTATCAGTTCTGTCACAACTCTGCAAACATGGCTTTACACATATGTAAACGTATAGTTCTGCTAGTCAGGTCCCTTTGCTGGGTTCTGCTTTTGCATGTTATCTCCATTGTAATAGATTAAAGTCGGCAGCAGCGATCTCGAGACATTCAGTGTATTTCGCAGCTTTTTCAGATCGAACAAAGTTAGGCAAAGCTTTTTATATGATTTGTATCAATGTGCATTTACAGAGACGTCATCACTTGAGATATTAATGACTTATGCTTAAGATATAGATTGATTAGCAATGTGGGTCAGAACAAATACGTCCAGTTCTAGAGATAATAATGTTCCAGAAGTTATACAGAAAATATACAGGTCAGATTCTACAATAGCTTTAACCTTTTATCTGATTTTTTCGAATCACAAATACATGTACAATAATTGTAATAATTGTTTTTATTTGTTAATATTCTACTCATCTTTCTGTTTGTAAGCAGAGTTGGTGGCATTTAAGTAGTACATTTCTTCTTGAATATGATTTATTTGTTTACCTATATATTCACATTGATATAGTATTTACAGTACATGTTTGTGATTCCATGTGTTCTTTGGCACAAGCATTTTCTTAAAGAAAAGATTATTTAAACCAATTCAGATTCAGAAAGCTTTATCAAGAGGGCAATTCATTTGTGTAATTGTGTAACAGTAACAGCAGATACACTATTAAAGCATAAGAAATAAAATAAAATTTCAGCATCAAAACAGACCCCAATCAGATTTCAACAATTAGTAAAACATTTGTTGTCAATGCTGGGTCGTTAAAACAACAACCTGAAGGCTTCATGAGAAGTCAGATATACATGTCATGTTTTTTATGAATACAAATCGAAAATATTGATTTTACTTTTGTGTACTTTAAGTGTAGCTTTTATTGACATAGTTTTGCCAGTAAAGTCATGAAACATCTGCTGATTGAATGTCAATCAAACAAACTCACTGATAGAGACATGTTTTTGCAGTGTTTTTTTTTATTGTTCATTGCGACAGTAGACAGACGTGTCATTGTCACAGAACCCATTGTGTTGCTCCTCAGTGCTGGATGTGATGGCAGTGTGTGCACTGACCATGTTGGACGCTGTGGAGGGGGAGGTGGCTGCAGCTGGAGGGGTCCTGCTGCTGCTCTTGGCGCTGGTCCTGGCCTGGCTCTCCACACACGTGGCCGACAGAGGGGACCACATCCTGGGCACCATCCTCACAGTGGGAGCTCACGCCTCTTTGATCGGGCTCGGGGGTCACGACAGCTACAGCGGAGCTCCAACCCACTCCAGAGGTGCAGTTTCCCATCAATACAAATGTTCTCTCAAAAAGAGTTTCAGAGTCTCACTTTTTGTGAGACTATTATTTTAGTTCTTGGCAATTTACTACTAAGTGTGTTTGGACAGCTCAACCATCACAAACACTATTTCAATCAGATCTGCATTCAAATATACTGTAGGTGAAATGTGACTGAAGGTTAGTTTTTACTTTCAAAAAATAGTATTTCTTTCCTTTTGATTTTGCTTTGGTAACACCTACAGCCATTGGCATGCAAATCTGATTCGGTTTTGTCGAGATAATGATTACAATTATCAACAAAAGGTTAAGGCATCTTTTAACTAAAACCAGATACATCTTTAATCCAGGTTAACATTTGGGAGGAAATGATTGAATGATATGTCACTCAGTGTTTTCCATAGATGGCGGCATAAGTTTCCTCTGATCACGGATAAAAAATGTATCTGGTTTTATTAATGTAAACAGTTTGGTTATATCGCAAAGAATATGGAAAAATTAGAATAAGGAGCGTCACCCTTGACTCCTTTGAAAGCGGAGTAAGTATAACCACAATTAAAAATTAAATAAATCATCAAATTAGTTCCTTGCTCTCAAAACAGTAGCTCTATCTCTAGTTTTCACATACATGTCTTCTCTCTCTCATCTTCAAATCGGCTTTTTCAGTGAAGAAGAGAGTATCAGCCCTCACTCAGCCAATCAGCTTTCAGTATGTAAGACATATACTGTCTGTAGAAAATAGTTTGTTACTTAAACAAGACAAACATGAAATAAATAAAAAACTAAGTTTGGTACTAAGCTTTCATGGGTAAACATTGTGACAATTGTTATTTTGTTCTTTTAATGAATCAGTCCTAATTCCCATTTTCCCTCCGCAGACACTCCCGAACAGCCCACGCCTTCGCCGCCGCAGGAGAACAAGCCCGAGGACGAGAGGGGGCGCAGCGATGGGACCAGCGAAGACTCCGAGGAGGCAGGAAGTGAAGCGCTCCTCGACATCCAGGCCAAACAACAGACACTGCGGCTTTCCGATGACGAAGAGGAGGAGGAGGAGGAAGAAGAGGAGGAGGAGCAGGTTAAAAAGACAGTGAGGCGCATGACGTCTCTGTGCTCCGCCCCGACCCCCACCACAACCACCGCCATCTCGGTCCGACTCAAGTTCCTGAACGAGACGGAGGAGGTGGCCGTGTTGGAGCCGCAGGACACAGTGGGACTGCTGAAGAGGTGAGAGCCGCGACTCACACCTAAGACCAGGATTTCACCAGGGGACAGCGTGACAAAGTCTTTCTAATGTTAGCTCTAGAGGAAGATAAACACGAGGGTATGAACTATTTGCTTTGTTTTATGAAGGCAAATATCAAGTCTAGCATTTTGATCACCTCCCTTCTATGGATGCAAACAAATTACATTAACACATATAAAATTATATTCAAATGAGTGGTACAAATTATTGATAAACTTATTATTCCAGATTCGCACTGCTTTTCATTTTCTATATTGGACTGTATTTGTGTCCTTAAGCACGACTTTATCCTCTTTGTATAAATTGATGATTGGAAGTTCAGATGAATAATGTATGAATTTGTAAAAGACTATTTAAACGCGTATTTCTGGCCTAAATCACTGCCAACTTTGAGTTCAGAGAATACTGTTGTTCGTTATACGGCTGTAATGTAATTGGAATAATAATTTAATCTTTCACTGCTCTTTTATGCAGATTCCAACCTGTTTGTGCTGTGAGATGTTTTAAGTCTCAAACCCGGCACAAACTACATGCAAAATCATTCAGGAATAGTGTAAATATCTTGTTTATAGTGAGAATGTCTAAGGAGTGGATTGCAGGGACACATGTGTGAGGAGAGGCAAAGACACGCTGTCAGTCCCAGACTCAGAACTTACTCCTCTGAGTTTGAGTGAGAGTGACTCCTTTTAAGCTCCTTGCACTGTCGCTGCTACTTTCTCTGTCCAGTTTACTCTTGTAGTGCTGGTAAAGTGAAATATACAGTACAATATTTGCCTTCTTAATGTGGTTCTTTTAGTATGTATTCAAGCTATAACTTTGACACTAGAAATATTATTGATAAGCATCTGATTTCTATTACTGAAAAAAATGACAAAAGATGCGGGGGTCTGGGTTGAGTCACAGCAGAAAAACATTGAGTTTTGCAGCATGATTTTATACAGACAAAGGAGGCTCCTCTCAGCATCTGCCAAGAGATATTTGCTTCGACCTTGAGAAAACCAAAACATCAAGAGGGAAATCACTGACTTCTGCATACTGTTTGTAATGACAAGCTCAGTTTTGAACATACTTTCACCATATTACTTTTGACAACCATATGTGTCCATACGAACCTAACTGACCACTTTTCCCTACTTCCCTCTCGCAGTAAATACTTCTCCGGCCGCGAGCAGCAGATAAAACTCATCTACCAGGGCCATCTCCTTCAGGACCCAAAGAGAACTCTGAAATCCCTGAACATCAGCCATAACAGCGTCATCCACTGCCACGTCTCCCAGAGCCTGCAGGAGACCAGCCCAGAGGAGGGGGCTCAGTCTGGGGCCGGCTCTGGGGCCTCTGGTGGGATGGTGTCTGCCGGCGTGGCCCTCAGCACCAGTAGCCTTGTAGTGCCTGTTTTCGTGGTGGTCCTGGCTGTGGTTTGGTATTTCCGAATCAACTACAGGCAGTTCTTCACCGCGCCCGCGACCATCTCCTTAGTCGGAGTCACTGTGTTCTTTAGCTTTCTCATTTTCGGGATGCACAGCCGCTGAAAGGACCAAAAAAACTGAGATTTTTGTAAGAAAGCTGCAGTGAGAGATTGTGACTAGGGATGCGTGATATGTTCTCGTTGATACAGGTGTTGAGCAACATTTGTTATATTATCAGAATTAAAGAAAGAAAGAAGAAACAGAAATATTTGAGAGAGCGGGCAAGTCACTGTTTATGGATTTGACAGTATAATATGATTATACAGTTAGTTACCAGATTTCAGTCAATGATAATCTATAGTTTTGATAAATATTCGGCTTGTGCAAATATCGTATCGGCTGAAACAAATACTGACCCATCTCAAACTGAAAGGATCCACATGTGATTGGATTGCATGTGCGTTGAGCTGGAAAATGGACCACTTTGGTGAACTTGACCGAAGTTTTCCTCGACTTAGCCTCTTCAAAATCACTCGGGAGGTCGCTCGACAACATATTCATTTGTACATTTGCTCGGGTTTTCAGATCGTGTCAATGTTTCGCGTGTAAAATAACATGCTCAAAGTAAACGGAAACAATCATCACTTCTTGAACAATGTTGTAACTTGTTGAACTCCTTTGATTTTTTTTCTTTTTGTTATCTCTTTGAATGATTGAATTCTGTTGCAAAAGACTGTACAGAGTCAATTTAAAGATATTTCTCTTGTTTTAAGAAAGGTTTCAGCCTGGACTTGACTATATACAGTGATAGAAGTCTTGAAAATGTACATAGTTGTAAATAGAAAGGATTGAGGACTTTCTGGCACTTAACAGGTTTGGAGTATCCATAGATTGTGTCTATGAGAGGAACTGTGATCTGATGCTGACTTTACAAATGTGTCAGAATAAAGCATCTGAAAACTGCTCTGTCCTGTATGAATCATGAATTGTTTGTATTGACCTTAAAACCACACACAAACCATCACTTTAAGCAGATCACAGGCTTTTATAGCCAGTTTACATGATCTGATGTAATATGACGACGACAATCAACAAAGACCACACTTCGCATCTATGCTATTTGTTAAAATAAACGTCTATATTGATATCAATTAAATATTTTTAAAACGCATTATATTTAAGTTAACAGTAGGGCAATTTTGCATTGACCCATTCTGCAATATCACCAGGGCCTCTGTCAGGAGCTGTGGTTATCTCAGTACAGCGCCCGGGGATCCATCTTCAGATGTTGATGCTCGGATTTGACCTTGTGTACATGTTTTTAGTGAAAGGGGAAAGAAACTGGAGCACCTGGAGAAAACCTACAGATTTGGGGCGAACATGCAAACTTCACTCAGAAAGGCCCTTCTTGCTGAGAATCCAGAGTTCTAATGAGTGTGAGTGAAAAATGTACAGGGAAATAAGTCAATGCAGAAAATAATATATACCCAGAGTAAATATGTCACGTGTCATTAAAAGGGTTGACATCCATAGGCTTCAACTGTTTTGTTATTAATATTCATAAGAATTTGAATAAGTGCTGCAGCCACTCATTTGACTGCAATTGTGATGGACTTTCAATTACAACTTGAATTTAAGAGAGCAGCATTTCACTTTAAGACAAAACGCAAGGGAAATGTTCAATGTACTAACCATGGATCTATAATGATATAGGTTCTAACAATAGTGAGCACCAGCGCCTCCCAGAGGACGAACAGAGAATCAACAGATATAAGCCTCAGCGCCTGGCAAAGGATTCAAATGTTTGAGGCATTTTTGTTGGTTCGTCCGAAACTGTTGGATTCTCAAAATGTGGGTAGAACATAAAAAACCTACCAATTCATTTTATCACAAATCCATTGTGGTGGTGTCCATGCATAACCCAATATTTATGCACTGGTGAAACGTCTTGAATGTCACTGCTTCAGAACAGTGCCTTAAAATAAACGTATCAAAAAAAGGAGACGGGACGTTTTTTGACAGAAAAAAATCTTGTATTCATCATGATTCCATTTCCATTGCATTGAGTCATAAAAACAAACATACAAGTGCCATTTGCCTAGTTGCTCCTCAAATATCAAAATATGCATTAAAACAAACAATATTTACATATCACCAAGTAGGCAGTGATAAATTAAAACTTAAATATACCGATGTAAACAAAGAAGTTAAAATGGCACGCACACCTTCACAAAGTCACATTCGAGGATGTTCTAGTTACATCCTGGAAACACACCGACCACACACAAAACAAAACTGAGCACAAGAGGCACATACTATTCAAACGCACACACACACACACGCTCACAAATGTGCAATACAACGCTAGAAAGTCCGATTTAAAAGCGCTCAAAAGCTACCATGTCAAGTGTCCAAGTGTTCAAAACAGGCAAAGTAATTTCAAAAGTCAAGGTAGATACATGGACTTACTAAATAATAATAATAATAATGATAATAATAATAATAAAATAAAAACTCCCTTTAGGGCTATCATCATATGCATGTTGAAATTAAATATGTCAAAAACAAACTAGCCAGCTCGCTAACTTTGGCCAATTTCCTAGCATTTAAGAACCGCAAATGGAAGATTTATGTTTTTCTATCTATTCAACAATCCATTATGACGGAGGAGTTCGGTGGACTTTAAACGATTGAACAAGTTAAATAAAGCCAATTCACCTTTCTAAGTGCTTCTATGATATATACAGATGAGGCAAATGTCTTTTTCTTTTTTTTCCACAACCAAAAGTATAATGCTATGGTCTACAATTATCATATAGTTTGAAATTCACAGTAAAACATAAGAACATATCAAGTGCATGTATATTTGACCTCAATTTAAAAACGGCTACAACCAAAGTCATGTTGTATACATTTAGTTTGGACCAATATCGTAAATGTATATGATATTTATGTTCTACTGTGAGTTGATATAACATCTAAGCCCCATTCACATAAACAGTCGTCCCGACGTAGCTTGGGCTGAGCTCCATTGGAAAAGAACTGGTGCATTTACATTTATATTCAATGATGGGATTTAGTGGTAATTAGGCAATAATCTGATCTTATCCCAACTTTGGTGAATAAATTGGTGAAATATTCCTTGAATTGTTTTTAATATCAATGAGTAAGTGTGGACATAGTAAACCACTCCTGGCACATTAGCAATTTAGCATTTAGCTGCCAAACTAACAATAACTTTCATAATACATTTTAGAACATCATTACTAATAACTCAATTTTGAGTCAATTTTAGATCAAAGTCTAGTGAGTATATAAGTTGTATTGTTTTTTTGTTTTGTTTTTTTAAACAACAATGCAATATAAACTGTGATGGTCAATAGAAGTTGGATTTTGTGTTTGGATCTGAATCATTGTGCAGTTTACACACAGATACTGTGACAAGGACAGCGTCTCTGTCCGGCGGCATCATAACTTTACTTCCTTCTGAAACATCGGTCAGAGTTAAAAAACGAATTGCAGTATGATCATCAGTGATGTCCAAGCTGTCATATGTACATCCGCTTTAAGAAATATCTTCCTCTCACAATCTCTTCCGTATTCTGTTTTTTAACTTCTCAACAATAAGATTTCTCTACCAATAAAAAAGATTGGATATTTTCTTGTGTGTAAAGACAAATTGTGATTTAAATTCTGAGGATACACTGAACCAGCTTGTGAATGTCCAATGCAATATCTGCCAATACTCAAAATGAACAGATACCAGTGAGACGGCTGGAAATGGCACCTTTTGACCATAAAGCACAGCAAACTTGTGTCAAATTGTTTTTTTTACTATTACTTGTCCAGCAAGTACGACAGAAAAACGTTGTATGATTGAACGTTAAAACTCTAATATTTTCATCAAACAAATACTCAATCCATCAAAATCCAATACTAGTGTTGTATCGGTGCATCCCTATTTGATTTCTTAAATGCACAGTTCTGGTATTTGTCTGAAAAAAAAAAAAAACCCCGGATTACCAGATTTGGCTTTTATCAAATAAACTCAGTTCGGGGAAATCCTCTGGAAGGACTGATTTTGTGAATGGGGCTTCACAGATCATTGCTTTTCTTTTAATTACAAACAGTTCATGCCACGCCACTCAACCTTTACCAATATATGACGAGAACCCTTCAGTCGTCATAGATACTGGAGGATCCGGAGGGTTTGGGCCTCTTCTTTTTGGATGATAAGCTGCTGTTACTTTGAGAGCTGCTGCTGCCGTTACCTCCTCCTCCTCCGTTGCCACCAGAGGGCGCCCCCGCACTCCCTCCCCCCCCTCCGGCTACACCACTGCTGTTAAGACTCAGAGGCGTCCTATTCTTCTTTTTGGGTCTTCTTGAATCCGAATGATTTGTGCCTACGACAAGTAATATTACATTTGTCAAACAGTAGTAAATGTATGGAGTGTGGATAATCCAGTCAACATTTCCCACAACAAATAATAATTGTAAAGCCATTTGTGACTAATAAATCAAACCGTATATATTTTTTTTGTATGTGTGTATATACGTTTTATATATGTATGTGTATGTGTATGTATATTTACTTACACATACTGTATCTTAATTCACTTTTTGACTCACTTCAAAATGAAATCCAAAAGTTTGAATGAACCACACACAAGTAACATTCTTGAGCTGTATAAAATGTTTTACTCACTGGCTTTAGAGGAGGCGGAGTCAGAGGGAGAAACATCTGGAGAATCTTCCCACTGTAGGCGGCTCATGAGGCTCTGTCCGTCAGGAATGTCAAAACTGTCGCTCTCCGTCACGCCGTCTGCATCCGGCAGCGGAAGCCTGAGAGAACCGGACATGGTCCACGTTATTAGACTCTCCACCCCCAGTGTCAAGTTTTACAACAGAGAGTAAAAGTGCAATACTGTAAACACAAGCACCTTTTTGTGCCTCATCATATTCCCCCAATTCATTTCTTTTTGGTCAAATGTGTCAAAATAATAATTGCAAATAACTTTTTTTTCACATGTCATAAGTTGTGTATTTAAAGTCACAATTTGACTCTTTGGGCTGAAAGCTGATTGTCTATTAACATTTTCTGTCTGGTATTTTAGTTGCATCTTTGGATCCGTTTTTTCAAACTGTTTTGAGAGCAAGGAACATACTAGTAACATGGATTTTGAAAGTTCCCCAGCTTTAAGTCAAGTACTAGAAAAGTACTCACAATATTGATTATGTTGTCAAACTTTAAACCTAAAGTCATAAAAATGCATATGTACAGAATTTGATTCTATATCAATTGCGGAGAACACAATGTTATTTTTTATTCAGAACATTCAGTTTAGTTTCTCTTTCATTCAGACACCACTCTATGAAGCCTGGTACATTTTATAGGTGAAGGAGGGAGAGGATGAGAGGGGGGATAAGGGGAGGACAGAGGGGGAGGACCACTCACGCGGACGGCCCCAGGAGGAAGACCCGGGCGGCCCGCCTCTGCTCGTCCGTGTGCTGGGGACATCGCTGAGACCTGGCGGGACACAACGTGGCATTACACATCCCTAAAACGTCACCCTTCCCCTTCATTTACGCTGTGGTTCAGGGAGGGCCGAGACTCGCTCCTGTGGACTCCGCCGGTGACCAGGGATTCTCAAACTGTGGTGTGCAGACCTCTCTCATGTTTCAGATTTATTTGAATGTGTGAATTTTTTTTGTCTTTCGGATCCTTTCCAATTGTGTGGCTGAACTTCTTTTTTATTTTATTTATTAAAGTGAATTTAAAAAAAAACGTATAAATAAGATACAGTATATACTTTTTGCACATTTCCTGTTGTTTGCACATTTCTTGTCTGAGCGATCCTATCGATCTCAAATGTAACATGTCTCCACAGTGAGGTCAATAAAGTTTGATCTTAAATAAAAATATCATCAATGAATTCATGGAAAGAATGTTCCAGGTGTACAGAATGTCCAGGAAGATTTGTTGCAGATGAAAAATCATCTCTGTTATAATTCTGCTGTTTCAGCTTCTGTTTTCTACTTTATTAGCTTGCACTGTCCTCTATTCGAAAAAACTCATTTGAATCTAGTCTAATCTAATCCAAAGTACGGTAGGCTTTTTCTATCTAAGGACCATATTAAAACAGCTTAACAATCTTCATATAATGTGAAAAAAAATAAAAAAGTAAAAAATAAAATAAACATGTGTATATCAGTAAGCAAGAAAGAAATCCATTGTTTACTCAGTCTAAAAACATATAATACAAAAAAAAGATATAGAAGTAGAAATGTGGCTAAATGTAACAGAAGAGAGAGAACATTTACTACAGAATATTCTGGTGGTTTAAAACTTAACCTAACCTTTAAGAGGGTGGTCGTTGTGAAGTTTGAGAATCACTAATCCAAGCAGTTTCATTTAAAACCACTGATCGTCCATAGACTTAGACAAATTTGGAGTTCTGGTATTTTCATGCGAAAAACAAAAACGCCAATTTTTCTTTTCTAACTTAATCCTATATTGTTGCCACTTGTGTTCCCTTTGCGTTAGTCCCAACATTTATGATCGTTTTCATTTCAAAAACGCCAAATGAAAGTGATCATGGTCTCACAGACATGCAAACAGGACATCGCTGCACGGTTTAGTACACGTCACTGACTTCAGGTTACAACAACTTTTTCAAAACGCCACAAAAAACGTTCAAATTCCAACTCACCTGTTGCACATCTTCTTGGAGTGTTCGGAAATCACACCACACTGCTGTAAGGAAACATTCACACACATTTGTCTTTGTAAATGTCCCTATATCACTCTATCTACTGTTCCAGAGAGCACATCGAGGCCTGTCGCGATAACACATTGTAAAAAATGATTGCTTCAGAAAAACAAAAACATTGCCATAAACTACTTTTATGCGACCCAAAAAATCATACAACGACAGTTAAGCGATTCTTTGTTAGAAGGCCTGGCATGAGAAAATAAACAATGTAATTAAGTCACATTCAGCTTCATATTCAATCCAGAAATGATACAAATTTTGAAGAAAATATACCAACGATGAATCTTGAACCCAAAATGTATCGTTCCTTTCATGAATTTTTTAACAAAGGTCAATATAGTGACTAGTGTGATAGGCCGAGCCACAAGCTAACCCTAACCAGAAAATACAAATTTAGACAAATACACAACTGGTTAGGGGGAGAGAGGCGGAGAAAAGTCACATGTGCCAGAGGTGAGGCCGGTTGATGGTGCAAAGACTACGGTGGATGGAACATCTGAGAGGACAGTGGAGAACAGTGCGGGCGAGTCGTAAGACCCATCACTTGAACCCAGCTCACTCCAAATCAAGGAAATACATGCTTTACATTTCACACGACAGGAAGAGCTGTTGAGGAGGGGTGGGGGAGATGGGGGTTGCGGGGCAGCAGCCCATTTATCATGCGGCTCGCGGGCTAAAAACTCGGGAATCCCTGGTTTAAGACTTGATTTAAGACCACCAAAAGACCTTCTCGCAAAACTCCCAACTATTATAAACAAATGAATAGCAAAACATAAAACATTAATAAAAAGAGAAGACACATTTTATACATTTAGAAATGTAGCAATGTGCTACATTTCTGATGTGTTTCAATACCAGTTTGTTGCTAAAGAAATGTTATTTCTTTGCTTGGAATGTACCTCAGTATAATTTTAAACTATTGTTTGACTACAAATGTTTTTACTGCTCAATACTATTCTCTCAATACCTGCAGAGACAATACTTTTCTTACCGTTGCGAGCACAGATCGGACTTCATCTGGACCGAGTGTTTCGTAGTTGATTCCAGAGCTGTAGTTATACTAAAAACACAAATAACAGCAGTCGTTAAAACTGTGGCTGGAGGAGACATAAGGAACTTTGAATGGAAACGTGGCCTATTACAGCAGTACATGAAATAATCACCTTATAAGCATCTGAGGGGACACTGCCACCAAGATCACCTGCATAAAGCAGGTAATGGGTTTATATGACGATTAACCTTCAATTTATTGTCAAATGGGGAAAAAATATTTTACCATTTTTATGTTTTAGTGACTTGGATCGTCTTGGAGATGTCTGATTCTTCAAAGAGTTTAAGACAACAATTAATAACAGCAGTTTGATTTGTGTTTAAAATATCAAAACAAAAATATTACCTTTTCTGGCTTTCTTTTCTTTGCTGTGGACAAATAAAAAGTTAGAGTAAATTAAAATTCAGTACAGTGAATAAAAATGAACTAAAACAACTTTTTTATGACGTGTTGATGACACATTTGAGATGCATTTAGCTAATCCAAGCAAACACTATAAACTTTTTTGCAGTGCATTTTTGCAGTGCACCTCTAATTTGACATCCCCTTAGCCCAGAGGAGTCCAAACTAGTTAGGGCCAGTTTAGTTTTAGGGCCACTCTAGTTAACCAGACGACGCCCCAGATTTTAAAAACGGTTTTGAATGGATTCGGGCTGTTCTGAGCTATTAGCTATGACGACGCTGAAGATGGCTGAGTGACAAAGGGTGACCATGACCATCTCATTATCTAAATTTACAGATTCTGAGCTTTACAGCGAGGTACAGCATATATCTATCTATATTAACTGAGCTGAAGTTGATTGAAAGTTGACTAGAGTGTGTTTATGATCTCAAAGACTTTGGGCTAGCAGGGCAGAGGGCCACAATTGTCTCACGGGCCTTAGTTTGGACAGGCCTTCCTCAGCTACATTACAACCAGGCCCTAAAGGTTGGATTTCAGTTGAATATCCCCACTGGAAAAGCTTTTTATTGTTATAAGCACTATGACCTGTACATCATAAAAAAGGTGAAATGAAATACTGTAAAACATGTTTACAAATGATAGAGAATGTTGGTTTTAAATTATAGTATATTGTGTTTATTCATATATTACAATCGTATTCATATTTTTCATGTAAGCCGTTTTTGCTTGATTGCACAATACACCAAATTCCTAGTTTCTGACTTCCTGTTACTTACAATGTCAATATAAATGATTCTGATTGGGATTTTTAAAGTACTCACATTTCTTCTCTGCTCCATAAGACCAGTCATTGTCATTCAGGTCATCGTTGTCCTCCTGATCGCTTTCTGATTTACTCATTGTGTTATTTGTGGCTAACCTATGAAAACAAATATTACGTTTCAAATTCATGCAGAAGATCTGCGGTGATACTGATGTGAATTTGGCTGTAGTTTTCATACCTGCGGTTTGCGATGCGGCTGCTGTTGCGTCCCATGCCGAGACATTTCTCCAAGTGAGGGGCAAAGCGAGAAGCAGCGATCAGCCTTTTACAATTGGGACATTCGCACTCTTTGTTTTTCCACTGATTATACACTTGGCCGAAAATGTCCACTCCAGGTTGGTCCACAATTTCTACACAAATAAACAAGTTTCTTCAGACACGGCAGAGTGAATAATGTAATTGCAAAAGAACAAGGCAGTTAATGGGCTCGTTCCACAGCTCCTGATTTAGTTCGTTAGAAGAGAGCCACATTATGAGGTGTGAAAATGACTTATTAGACGTTGTTTTTATGTCTTTTATTTAGTCCGTCTCATTTTAGTTGTCACTTTGAGGTTTTGTTTTTGTGCTACTTCTTTACCTTTTGAGACAGCAGTAGGATTAGGGTTTAGTTTCTGTGTTAGTTAAAGTCTAGCCTGGCCTTAGCCAACCCGTAAACTCTGGTCAATTATTATTTACCTAAATGTACTTCTGGGTCTGATCCTAGTGGCTACAGTGAAATATCAAGAAATTGAAACCGGAGCAAGAGAAATGTTTAGCAAATTTCATTGCTGGCCAAGATGTTGTGGCTTTACTCCCTACAGGCTCCGTTGTGGCAGAGGAGAAGGCTAAAGCTAGGCTAAATGCTAAAGCCTCACTCACTCGGGCGCATTACAAATGTCACGGTAAACTCAGATCTAATCGTTTCAACCTGCAAAAGGAGTTAACCCCTCCCACCTGTTAATGGAGCACGATGGAGCAAATCTAGACCTTAGTACGAAATGAAATTAGTGTCAACTTATCATTTACATGCCCGTTATTAAAATACTTGCTTTACCAATTAACATCTTGTTTTTTGTAACCTCCCTTACCCTAGCAGAGCTGGGTCGTAACAAATGATACAAGTTGGTAAATTTTGAATGAAACTGTTGCACAAACCAAATTCCTTCATGCTTTCCTGGTCTGTTTCATCCAAAAAGAAGTAGCCTTGTTTGACAGCACGATGCACTTCAAAACACAGGCCCAAACAGGCATCGTCCACCAGCTCAGAGTAGATGTCATGCACCAACGCCTGATAATAAAGACACACAACAACAAATAATAAACAAGTTGAGAAGGATCGTTTTCCTGCTTCACTCACCTCCAGCCTGGTGTTGTCTGGGCCTGACAGCGGCATATCCTCCATTTTCATTTGAAAGTCTGAATGGGAAGTTTGGATAGCAAGGTAATGAGTGGATGATCTGCAAATTTAAAGTGGGAAAAGTTCAATAGTGTCACTGGGAGAGAAAAGTACAGATATCTTAAATAACTTACTTTATACGAGGTTATTAACTGTTGCACAACTGTCTTCATTCTGATACAAAGAAATACATGTTAGAACCTTAAAAAGCAATATATTTCAGAGACCCACAGAATTATAGCCAGCCCAAGTGTACTATAAATTTAAAAAATCCTTGACAATTATTTTCATGTGTATCATGTGTATTATTCTTCATATTGAATGATGGCTACTGTAGAATGGAGTTGTGATTTATTCCCTATTTTTTATTGTTTTTTGAAATAGTCATTGTCTATTTTTGTTAAAAGATCAATTGTTTACTACACTTTGTTAACTGTGATTTTAGGACTCTGATATAGCAATAATAATAAAGAAGAATAGAATAAGAAATACATAGATATCAATTCAATTATCCATCCATCCATCCATCCATTTTCTTCCCCTTAATCCATTTCTGGGTCGGGGAGGTGGCAGTCAGAGCTGCACCCAGTACACAGAGCACCAGCCTTTCACTGATCCTCATGCAGGTGGTGAGTCCACAGGAGCTGAGATCTTTCAGTGGGAGCTTCAGGCAAAGTGGGGTTAAGTGTCTTGCCCAAGGACACAACGACAGCAGTCATCAGTGAGAGTCGTGAAGTAGGTCTTCTGGTGGGCTTGAACCCACGACCTTCAGGCTCAAAGGCCAATGCTCTACCAACTGAGCTACTGTCGCCCAGTAATTCAATTATGACAGTTATAAATGGAAACTGAGCCAAACTGAGAGAGCGTGTATTCTAGAGTCATCGCTTATTTTAGTATATTCATTTATTTGGAAGGAACGGTGTATGTCAATGAACAGACATATTAGAAACATGTCAGTTTATAGCCAAATACATTTACACTGATAATTTGTGCAATTTTACAAAACTAATATTTCAACTGCGTATTAATTATCAAAATTGACATTGATTATTAAGAAAGAAATTTGGTTTTTTAATTTTTATTCTATATTTGCCCCCAGATGACCATATAGAACAATGCTGTGATCCTTGTTGTATTGGTGTTGACGCGTTTGTTGCACAGAGCAGTTAATTAATACAACGGCAAAGACAAGTAGATAAATGAAATGAAATATGAAATGTCTCTATGCATTTAACCTACAAAGAGGTTTTCATTCTTTTTAGGGTCAGCTGAAGCAGATGGACTTAGTATTCATTTAAGGGGTAAATAAATGCTACATGTTAGCACTGTCATCCATCAGTGGGAGATGTTGAAGTGTATTGTGCAAAATGAATAAAAAGGTCAATTGTTTATAACGCACGTTAAATCTGCATGTTAGCAGTTTGTGATGCTAGCATGCTAACCACAGCACCACCGCATGATATGTTCGTAAGCTTTTGCCATAGCACCACAGCTTTCGGAATGCTATTCTAATGCTTTATCTGAGAAGTGTTCATGTTTATTGCTCTTACCTTGTCAAAGCCACAGGTCACCGCTCTGAGCTGAAGCTGCATCCTCCGCACTCACAGCGCAGAAACAGCTGTGTTCCAGAGACCATTCCCTTCTTCTACTACATCCATGTTGTCACATCATATGTGTGTTTTTATGTCGATTAGTGTGTTTTATCAAACCTGAAAGCGCTAATATGATAAAGAAGGCCCACCTAGAACCAATCACAGAAATGAAAACATCCTGGTCTTGATGTAATACTACAAAATAAAAGCGCTCATTTCCGGTTATTCGACCATCATCTTCCTCATTAAACATTTCAAATCATTATTTCAACACTTATTTACAATATCAGTATTGTTATTGCTAAAACGCATCAATTATTTCATTTCGAAATGACGCATTAAAAATTTAGTTTTGATCATGGATCTATTAGGTTTTGATACACATAGAAGTTTGGTATCTATACTCTACATACACACACATATACATATGTATATATACTTATAATGTTCAACTTAGAGGTTGGAGGGGGCATTCAATTCCAACGATCATGTGACCATGGAAATGTAATAGTTTATTTTTGATGACACACAGTAATAATAAAAAGTAGCTGCAGGTAAAAAATAAAAAAAACAATGTGGCTCTTATAGATTTTTATTTGCCCAAATACTTCAACTACAAGGACATAAGAACTCCCTCAGCTATAGAAAACATCAATTGTGTTGTCAAATTTTCTGCAGTACAAACTTGTAAAGCTTTGCTCTGAGATATTCCTATAAACTGACAAAATGAAAAAGAAAAAACAGGCAAATGAACTGTAAGCCAAAACAAAACACTTAACAATGAGCACTCAATACAAAAACATTATTTACAGTAATTACAGCTGACAATTCAGTTCCCTCAATTCCTGATAATAGTATAATTACAGCTATTTCCTACCCCTTGAAATGTTTACAAGTTCACGCTGGTTTTGTTTATGTAAAATTAAAAATAACATTGACAAAAAACCATGTTTATGTGCTTGACAATTTGAGTAAATAGACAGCAATGAGCAATATTGGTTGGGGAAAGGAAAAAAATTACATTCATGGTGTTGGTTGGACGCCCCGTAGAATTACGTACGTGCTGTGGTCACATCTTTGAGAGCAACAGCATAAACAGCACAAACAAAGCAAACCCACACGCACCCCCTCAAATATATACAGTTCTGTGCCAACAACGCACAACAATTCACACAATTTACAATAAGTGCACGGCTCGAGGATTAAAAAAAAAGACATTTGGATTAGCAGCTTCCATTAAAAGCTCAAACAAACCCAATGAAAGCCGTTCAACTAAGCATCCATAAATGATTTGACAAACGCAAAGCAGAACGACAGGAAACGAACTGAAGTGTAAAATGATGCGTCAACAAAGGTACAGAAAAAGAAAAACTGAAAAAAACATTTTCTGTAAATGCAACAGTTTGAGGCCTAAGGAAAAAAATGACAAAACAGGTGAAATCTGAACTTCATGTGCAATGGACTGAGAAGTGTCTATATGAAGTATTCTTTCATTTTAAATATATTTCACTGGTGTAAGACAGAATTACAAAAGGACATTAGCATAAAAAGGCACAACAAAAAACTATGCCAGAGCAGGTGTACTGATGGCACTCTAAATTTAAGACGCTCACAACAGCACCTTTCTCATGTTGACCTGTGCCGAGGTTGTCTAAACACATTTAGGATAATTCACAATGATGCAAAACAAGATATGACTGAGTGGTTTGAATACTTTATACAGACACTGTAACTGAAATAAAAACATGAGAAACAATATTTCCAGCAACAGAAAAAACATTCATAATGGCTTAGTTTTTTTTCCTGAAAAATACCACCGCTATATAAACCAAGATAAAAATCTACATCATAAAATTAAAAGTGTAATGGCAAAGATTTGGGGGAAAATAAAGAGGAAACATTCAGAAGAGTGCAATTGTTCCATTCCCCACGCGCCCTCGCGCCTTAAAGTGATCTTTGGCTTCATGAAGCCTCTTCACAACTCACGTCCAACTCTTTTTCATTAAAAGGAAAATAAAAGAGGGCAACAAATACCCAAACAGTAAAAGTCTATTGGACAAACCATTAAGCTGAAACATTTAGCTGAAACAACAGAGGCATCGCCAAACCAGTGGGATGCCCCTCTCTCCAGTGGAACGTGCTGTGAGACCAAACCTGGAGGTAACTGGACCGAGCAGCGGCCTCCAGACGATCATGAACAAGTGAATGAATGAGGATGTGCAGGGCGCCCTCTGTTGGCAGGAGGTGAGCAGGGTTGGCACAGTGGCAGAGCTCCCTGGACTCTTGGCTCAGCACTGTATAGTTTATGTGAGACTCTGGGTCCACTTCAGTCCGAGTCCGAGTCTGAGGATTCTGACCCGGACTCACTGCTGCTGTCCTCAGACTTGTTCTCTTTATCCTCTGCCTCATCGTCATCGTCGCTGTCATCGTCATCGTCGTCATCATCCCTCTACAGAAATCACAAACACGACTTTGATCAGCCTCAGCAGCTCCTAAAACGTTTGTTCAGAATGAATCTTTACAAATCCATCCCTGCTCTTATCCAGAGCCAAAGGAACGGAGTCAGCGGTCCTCCCCTTCACCATTTAAACCACCCACTAAACCCTATCCTACAATACAGTATCATTTCAATCTGCAATATTAAATTTATTATTGACCATAATGATAGAGTGATTTTCTGAGATTAACTGAAAATAATTTTTTTCAGTTGTGAGATCATCAATGACCATAACACCACTCTGCAGAAGCCAGGGAGGTTCAGACTATGGCCAAGGAAGCACCTGAAACAGGTGCCTGAGCCCCCTTAACTTGCTCCTCTTGATGAGAAGGACCTCCCATGTAAGTGAGCTCCTCACCCTCATAATTCTTAATTGAACTACTTGAATCCATGATCAAATCAATACAAAAAAAAAGGTCAAGCCTATGTTAAAATATAACCTTAAGTTATCTTTAAAGTTACTTCCCCAAATTTCTGAAAAGCAAATGTGTTACAATGGATCAGTGAAGTGTTTTTTGCAGTATGTTTCCATGCATTAATATAATACAGCATTTCATTGTGTCATCCTCATTAATAAATGTAAATGTACAGGATAATAAGAATCAGATAGCATACCATTCCTAGCTGTTCTAATTGTTCTTATCCAGACTCCAGAAAGCCTTCTTCACTTACATCATCGTCATCCTCATCATCATCGTCATCGTCACTGGAGGAGTCTGCGTCAGAGGAGCCCTTCTGATCATCGTCATCATCATCATCGTCATCGTCATCTTCATCCTCGGACTCCTGACATAGAGGCAGCTTCCGTTAAAATGGAGAAAAGTAGATGAACTCACCAAATATCACAAGGGAAGCTCTAGGTGCTGTCAAGTCAAATTTAAGACTAGGAGTGTGACGATATATTGATTTTTCAATATGTCGCGATACTTCCTCCCGCGATCGATTATCAAAAAGCATTTTTTTTTGATTATTATAATTATTATAATTTTTTTATTAGTATCAATACTTAAAGTGATAGTCTGTAACTCTAAATTAATTACAAATTTTAGGAAATGTGTTAGATTGACCTCCTGGCCTTAAATGTTGATATAAAATAAGTAATTTTATTAATTCTAATATTACAGGTAAGTCCCGCCTTCCCAGCTCTTAGCTATAGTTCAGAATCCACGGTGCCGTCGAGGTTAACCAATCGAGTCATGCCAAGGGATGTCAATCATCGGAGCTGATGCTCGCAGCTGCGCGCATGCTCAGTTGTTTGTTTTCGCGGAGCCTCTATTAGGCTCTGGAACTACATGAAAACTGAACAAAGAATTCTGAACATCCACGCTGAGGTACTTATGTATTTACTGAACCTATATCCATGATCAGATCCTCTGCAGATGTGTCCTATAATGTGCAATTCATGATAATAGCACTTCCTGGTTTGCCACGATCGCTTTTTTGTGTGCATAAAAACATATTTTTTTTCATTAAAACATTCACAAATAATTCTGAAAACCTCCGTGCATGTGTATTAATAATGTATAATATGTTCTCTGATTAACATTTCAAAGTGTTACGGAAACGTAGGTGTAGACCAATCAGAAAGGAAGGAGGAGGGACCTTGCGTCGTTTTTTTCAAATCAAGTACCTCTCTGTCTCTCTCACAAACTCCAGACAATCACTTTAATATATGGCTACATTACACATCTCCATTCCATTTATCATGAAATAAAGTATACTTTTTCACTAAAAGGTTTCTATTTTATGTATGCCATATATTGGCATATGGTATATTTCTGACCAATATATCGATAATCGTCATATCGTGATATAATCGTTATCGTGAGCTTTGTATCGCGTATCGTAAGGTACCCTTAAGTTCCCACGCCTATTTAAGACCTTTCTTTTTCTTTTTATAAAATGCATATTCAATCCCAAAAAGTAAACAAATAGGCAAGAGAGAGTAATATAGTGACAAAATAAATGCCAGAATACATTCAATATTTCAATAAAAGTTTGATGAGGCACAATCTCTAAAAAATAATGTCATCCATTTGTGTACGTTTAAAAGTCCTTGGATTTGGCCACATCAAAAACTTTCAATGACAAAGACAAATATGTTGTAGTTGTACGGTACTCACAGATTTCTGGAATTTGGGTTTGGGTGCACCAGGTTTTGCTGAGGATTTGCGTTTCTGAAATGTAAAATATTATGATTAGCATGTTCTAATTTTTATTTTTATTTTTATACATGCTACATGACAAATTACCTGTGAATTGTACTCCTTGTATGTATTCCTTTCCTGTGATGACAAGCTCTGCAGAAGCAAAAAGGCAAAAGTAAGACACATGCTACGTTCCATGTGAGGTCCCAGTACAGATATGTTGAAGATGTTTTTTGAAGGAGATTGTGAGAATGTGCTAGCTGTATGCCACGTTTGCGCTGGTTTCTTTAATTAGGCGAAAATAAATGTTTTGTTTGTCCCAACAGAAAGGATCTTTTAAAAGTATTAAAAGGTATTAAAGGTGATTATATTAACCTTTAGAAAACACTAACGTTTGCATATTTGTATATAGGAGCCCTAGTCACTAATGATGCAGTTAAGAGTGGTCCTCTCCTTGTCACTTTTCTGTCTAAAAAGGCAAATCTAAAGACACGTCAGGACAAAAAGACTAGTACTAGCTAGCACAAAAAATTACAATAAGGATTTTTATTATCATACATAGTTATTTTTGTGGATAGGAACCACAGTGTATTTGTAAAAAAAAAACCCAATGAATAATTTGGAATGTTTCAGGGGATAAGGAAAAGGTTTGAACAGTTGCAAATGGTTTGATGATACAGGTCCTTTAATACCAAGCGCTGTGATGTGAATATAAAAAGTGGACACTGGAAGCATTCATAGTTATAACACAAGATGGACGTTTAAGTCTTACCGCAAGCCATTGTTCAAGCAGGACCTTGTATTGTTTCTGCTTCTCTTCGGCTATCTTTTTGTAGCGGTCTTTGTCTTTCTGAGGTAACCTTTGCCAGCGGCTGCCGATCTCAGTCATTCGCTCCTTCATAGGGAGATGATTCAACTCTCCATTGGAAAGCATTTCCTGAGAAAACTTTTGATATCCGTTTCTAAAAAAAAAAAGAGAAAGAAAATAAAATCACAATGTTTGGGTGTAACAGAAGTGCATTCGTCTCTGAGCAGATGGACGTACGATGGGGGCTTTTTGGGTTCACCCTCAAACTTCATCTTTTTCCCTGAGGCGATGGCAGCTGCGGTCGGAGAACGCATTTCACACAGGTCTCTCTGGGGAGGACAGCAAAAGTGAGGGTTGTGCTCAGCCCTTTGTACACCACTTCTGTACCATTACATGATTGAGCTTGTTCTGTCAAACCTCATATCTTTTCTGGTCCTCTGCTGCTTTTTTGATCCACATGATTTTCTCCTTTTTCTCCATTGTACTCCAAGTTGCTTCCATGGCTTTCTGTGCCTTTGGTCTGTCACTCTGTTGATGTAAACGTAACGCAATATAAACATTGCACCATTTCTATTGGGCCAAGTGTCAGCACTCCCAAAGCCAAAGCTAAATAAACCTTTAACTCACCTTGAACCTGGCCAGATAATCCCCGATGACGCTTTGCTGCCAGATGTCCTGCGCCGTTTTGGGAGGATCCGGGAGTCGACTGCGATCCACATTCTTCTCTTTTTCAGACTCTGCTTTCAGAACAGCTTCTAAGCGTTTGTATTTCTCCTGAAGCAAGACAGCGCATGATATAACAACAATAAATAATAAATAGCCTATGTTTTCAAAATGTTCAACTCTTCAATGCTGATTAATTACCTTCTTCTTATCAGGAAGCTCATTCCACATTCGTGCCAGGAGCCTCGTCACTTCACTGTCTGCGAGATCCGGTCTCTCCTGCTGTAGTTTTGGACGCTTCTCTTCAGAAAAGATGAACATGGCTGAAATGGGCCTTTTGGGTTTCTCTGCATCGACCTAAATGTAAAAAAAAAATATATGGTTAGGGGTAAATAATATAAACAAAACGTACAAATATTATTGAGATTCATACGCTCAATACCTTTGCCTTGCTCTTCCTTTTCGATGCTGGGCTGCTGGCTCCAGTTCCTCTCCTTATTCCTTTATCTTCACCCAATACTCGCCGCTGTTCCTCCTCTGGCAATGACTAAACAAAGACAAAGAGTTTATTTAGAACAGAGCTTCACACGCCACTATATTTTTTAGCAGTCAACAAGCCAAACAATTATTCCTATTGTTGTAATGCATTACGTAAAAAAAACAACAAAAAAAAAATCAGTTTCAGAACAAAAAGAGTGATTGTTAAAATAGTGACTGAAGGCTCCTAGACAAATCAAATATTGCCAATTCTTCTGTTAGCATGCATTTTAGAGTCTGCATTCCAATTAGCAACTACAATTTGATTATGATTTTTATAAATACTATCTACACATTGTTGCGGAATCAGAAATCATCTTAATTATCACTCGTAAGTCAGAGTCTTGCAAATTTCTGTATTATGATTTAGGCAGAGAACTGATTGGTTGTTCCATAGTGGTTCACCGGACTTTGCCTCTCTGTCTGAATGCTGGTTAGTAAAGGTCATGTTAAAGCTGAGGTACACAACTTTAGTGTCATAAATAAAATGTCCAACAGAAAGTCTTGTAAAAGCAAAAACCAATCAGACCACATGATGTCTTCATTGTATTAGAAAACATATTTAGCATAGTTTAATGGAGCCCTGTGCGAGTCAGTCTTTGACTTTCTGGGCTGAGAGAGATAACTGAAGAAAGAACGACTCTCACTCAGGCGATGTAAAATATGCGACAAAATGCAAAAATCATGCATGTGATTTTGTGAGGGAATTTACATGTTACATGGATTTGTATCACTAGTTTTTAGAGTTCCCTAGTTTGACAGCGTCAATGATAGAAGATCACCTCAGCTATAAGAAATTACCTAAATAAATATGCGCAGTGAATATACTTACATTTAGAAACCGGTGCATCTCAATTTCAAACTCTTTTTTCCTCTGCTCACATCTCTTCTGATAGGCGTCTTTCTCGGCCTGTTTGAGCATCTTCCAGCGCTGGCTGCACATCACCATGCGTTCAGTACTGGGAACGTCCTTCATGTTGGACATGAGCTCCGCACAGAACATGGAGTACCCGTTTCTACAACCAGACACATCAGAACATTTCAAATTACACTAAAACCATTAATTTAACATGTATTGGACAGGTTTTAAACATGTTCTGATTTCAACTGTATTCAAGATTCATCTAAATCTTTATTGATCTCACAATGTTCATGTTACATATAGCCTGAAACAGATCACTCAGCCACACTAGGCTCACTAGACCCATGTTGCAGGACTCATTTGTACCCCAAATATCTATACATTTCCAAAATCATTAAAAAAGTAATGTTGATTTTTATAGATATTCATATGATCTGGGTTACATTAGAGGCTTGGTGCATCACATAATCAAACATCAAAGTTGGAGAAAAATCTTAAACATACATTACCGCAACTGCATTGTATCAAAAAGAATTAATATAATCTTACGGCGGTGGTTTGTCGGGTCGACCATCGGACTTGTCTTTCAAGTGTCGTTCGGCTTTCGTCAGCGTTGATTTAACGATATCCTCTTGAGTCATGTTTAACTCTGGGTGTTGCTGAATGTACTCCCGCATTACTTCCTAAAAACAAAACTATAGTTATTACAATATAATTTATATAGGATTTTTGAATGTACCCAACGACAACATAACATAAAAGCCAAACCTCATATAGTTTGTGTTGTTCCAGAGACTTTGCGATCCACTTTAGCCTTTTCTTGTCAGACAACTGTGTCCACTGCTTCCCCAGACTGTCCTTTATGTCTTTGGTGGTTGCCTGAATGAAATATAGAGGTTTTAAAGTAAATCCAGAAACAATGGCATAATATGTATATAGTGCAGATAAATGCCCTTACGTCAGGGTGTGTCTTAAGTAAGGCCTTTTTCTCATGGTTGTACCACAGTTGTTGAGGCGTTTTGGGCTTTTCAGGGACATTTGAAGCTTTTTTCGTCACATTTTCCATCAGATCTGGATGATCCTCCCTGAATGATAAACATAACTCAACATCATTTTATCCAATAATGTAGATTTAGTTTGTATGCACTGCTTTATAAACATACCTGAACCGCATCATGCTCTGCCCAAACATTTCTTTGTCCCTCACAAAATCGTCCACATACTTTTTCTATGAGCAAAAACAAGAATCCACTATAATTCCATTTGCGTTGATAATAAATATATGTTGGAGTAGTACATACCTTCTTTTTCTCTGGGAGTTCCCTGTATTTCTTGGAGAGGATTTTTGTCAAATCGAGGTTACTCATTTCAGGGTGCAACTTTGCATACTTTGCTCGCTTCTCCATGAAGAAGCGAAAGTACGGCGTTAAAGGCTTTTTGGGAAAGTCTGGATGTTTCTGTTGATAGAATATATATCACACATCATATATTTTTTTAATCATTTCAGTAAAGAAAAAAGAAGCCAAGCAAATAAGTATGTTTACCTTTAATTTCTTGCCCTTGTAGGGATTCTTTATGTAATCTTGAGCATCAATAATGATCTCTGTTAAGGTCCTGAATTTCCGTATCTAAAAAGGAAGGAACATTTTATTAAGCGTAAACAAAGCAATGTCAAAATCAAAAATGTCTTAGATCCCTGACCTCTTTAGACACTTCTAGCCATTTCAGTCGGCACATATCTGCGGAGTAAGAGTTGAACGCGACCTTCTGCCAGTCAAGATGGGACTCTGATGTCTTGTACTTTGTAACATCTTTAAGAGGAAGAGCGACTTTCATTGATTCCAGAAGTTTGAGGAGGTCATCCTGTCCCCACACTGTGACACAAAGACCATATAAAAATGTAAACCTGTAAAAGGCTGCTCTATAAACATAAAATGCACAATGGTTTTCAAAGTGAGGCACAAATCTAGATGTTTGGAAGATAAAATTCAAAGATCTTTCTTCTAATTCCACCAATTCTTTGACACAAACATAATCACATAATGAAGTATGTGAGATTTGGTCAAATTATACAAAAAAAGCAACCTTGTTTTATGTATGATCTTCAAATTATAACAACTCTCACATACAGCAGTAAGGGGTCGTGAGGAGAGATAACTGATTGTTTGAGATCCCCTGATTTATAAAACACATTTATTTTCTGTAATATAATTTGAATAACTTAATAATTCATAATGTATCTATTGTTAGTAGTCTGTTATATATCTAGATCTATTGATAGTAGGTAAACTTTATTTTTTCTGGAAGTATGTAAAACTGAATCAAAGTCAAACCTTGGTCATGGGTGGTGGCCTCCATATCTCCATTCATTTGTTGACTCCCGACTTGTATCTATGAAAATAAATTAAAAATACATCAAATAAAAAGTAACAATGATTTGTGTTACAAGTTACCAAAGTGGCGTCTTAAGATTTACGTCATGAAACACATCGGGTGGGTAAACATTTTTATTCAAATTGTGTTTAAATATAAAAATCACATATTTGTTAAAAGTCTGGTTTCTTTATTGAAATCCAGCACGTATGTATGTGTGTGGTGCGCACTGGTCCTAGTTTCTGACTGCGCTTCGCCATAATGGTTTATGTTCATTACACCGCCCCTTAAACGTTTACGCTACATGGTGAGACATAGGCTATTGCTTGTGACGGCTTCAAATCTCAAATAACACTCTCTGCAGAAGGCTTCAACTATAGCTCCACTGGCCACGACTACGACCAGACTAGTGCGCGTCGTGTGGAGGGGAAAAAACCCAGCTCCATCAGGAATTCGGCGCATTTAGCACTATTCTTATTGCTCAATACAAGCATCGCGGAAGGAGCGCACGCACAGCGACCATTTTCTCGCCCGGGCTTCGCTGCAAATGGAGGTCTTTACGGAGCGGCAGTAGCTGTAGCGGAGGGAGGATCCACAGAAGGAGGAAGCGAATGGACGTGGGACAGACAGGCAGCTGTAGGCGACCAGCTGACCACGGCGCGGCAAGGACGGGGGGATCTGCTTTAGCTCCGACGGAGGAGTGAGATGGAGGAGGATGGGAGCACTGCGGCCAAATGCGCCACTCACGACTGGGCACGCGGGGCCTCATCACTGCCACGCGCGCTGCTCTTTGTTCCTTCTCAAAGCGATTAAAAAGTCACGATGAAACGCAGTATGGTGTCTATATTTGGGAAGTTTTCGTGAGTTATATTCGAGTGGTTGACTTTTAAGCGATATACACGAAGGTTCGCAAAAGCTCTGGTGCATTCTTCAGCGAGGCGTAGCCGAGTGGTGATCCAATGATGGCGGATGCTTGTTGTTCGTGGTGTCCTTGATGGCCCCAGCTCACCATGGCGTCTTACCGCATGACCCAGCAACTCAACCCGCGTCGTTTTCGTCCATTTTAGACACGTTAAATAAGCCAGTTTCAACTTTATATACAATTTTACTCGTTTTAAGGATATTTTCAACAAATTTGCTGAACATATGGATCGAAGCTAGCGGGAATCAACATGCAACACATGCCCCAGTTTTACGCTAAAATGTTCAAAAATCGAGTTTCAGCCAGCTAACGCGTACGGAAATGCGAATTTGCAATCGTACAATGCAATTTAAGTATGCATTATTGATTGAACACACTTTTAAAATCAAAATTGAGTAAAACATTTTTTTTGTTCAGCCCGAAATAGCGCCACGGCGGGCGGATAGAGCTCCAGCAAGCACTGGGTCGACAAGGAGAAAACACGATGAATAACAGCTAAAATAGGTCAAATGTTTCCGTAAATGCACCTAAACCTTCACACCAACTACTATACCGTAAAATCCAGATGTCAGTGAGTTAGAAAATATCAAGGAGAAACGCTTATCCGCGGCTGAGTAGCTTCACGGGCTCCCCACACACAAACATACCCAGTCGGCCATGCTTTCGCTCTGCTTGGAGAAGTAGACCTACCCGTGCCAAGGTCCAATGGCGCACTGCAAGCTGAGCAAACCGTGTCTCAACCTAACACAACCAGGGCGTTTCAGACGAGACACCCCTCGGTCCAAAAAGCGCGCAGAGGACAGGGGGGAAGGCGGGTTCTCGGTCCTCCACGATACACCGCTGGTTCTTCTGGGGCTAGAGCGAGAGATGGGGGTGAGAGAGGGCGGTGAGGTATTAAACCGAGATCCCTGATGGCAGCCTGACCGAGCGAGGTGGCTGGTTGTTCCGGTAGCAGCCACATGGAGGTCTCGGCTTCGGAAAACGCCACTACTTTCCACGCGTAAACAAGCCACGCAATGAGGGCATCGGCTGACTGAGTTTCCCCCGTATGGATCTCGTACTAGGCGCGAGTAGAATTTTCGCGTAAAATTGTCGATTGAACCAGGGCTTTCGAGTAGTTCTTTTACCCGCGTTAGAGCAGTGCAATCCAGGATGTACGTTGGATCTCATTACATGGTGTGCAACCAACACAGGGGACAAAGCGCAGAGATATAAACACTACTTACTTCCAATTTTCTCGTGTTTTCGTCTTTCTTTTGTGTTGTGTTGAACACCGGTAGTGGGGCTTTTGCGCGTTCTCTCGACTCTCCAAGCAAGCGTCGTGCCTGCCGCGGTGGATGTAGGAAGGAGAAGGGAGGGTTGAACGATAGCCAGCACTGCGTCCGTCCTCAGCTCCCAGTCCCCGCAGAGAGATGCTCCTTTCCCCCCCACGCCTATATCCTCTCTTCCCCCGACCGGTCTCCCCTCCATTCCACTCAGCTCCTCTCTCTCCCCAGCCATCCATTTCGCTACGCCGAGGCATGATCCACACATTCCGCCATAGCTCCATTTACGCACGGAGAAGGACGCGTCTACTTGTCCGTTTTTCCTCATTCGCTGCGGGCTTCATGTTTGATACTTACCGCCACTATAATAACACAAGATTAGCTTTGACTTGCACTTGTTTTTATTAGCTAATATGCCTTGACTTGCATTTCGCAGACAGCAGCATCAGCGCTTGTTTGTGCAAGTTGGTTTTATAACAAGTTGAGATCATGGTGGGAGCGCTTGCCCTATTTGAGCCTGGTTTGGTGTGACAGCTACATTTTTGGCCTGCTCCATGTTATTTCTTTTCCACTCCACCTTGTGTGTGTTTGTGGGCGGATACTTCAGCCGTCCAATCCTGTCAGTCCTATCCAGAGAAAACAAATGATTTTCAGGAGCTGGGCCTTGTTGAGCTGCGTCGCCTTCTCTTTCTCTGGGAAATTTGGGTATCAGTTACGCACAAGCATACATGATTTCTCCCGTGTCCTGATTATTTAGCAGCAGCCTAATACGTTATTTTGTTATCTCAGGGATATTTTTTGCCTCCAAACTTGGCTTTTAAATGTGACATTTACACACCCCTATATTTTGTGATTTTTTTTTGTTTTTTAATCTTTATACTGTGTAACATGTCCAAGATTCCAATAAAAAGAACGATTTTACTTTCATTTGCTATAGTTTTATTTATAATCAATATGTATATTTCACTGTATAACCCATACACTTACAGAAGCTCTTGCTGCTTGTCATCCTTCATACTGGGATCATAGTTTAAACACAATAGATATTTTTGGCTTTTATGATGGAACATTTCTTAGCATATCTTATAATATATTAAAATCATGACTTTGATATTGGCTAAATCACTTGCCAATACTCGACTAATCAAAAATCTTTGGCTAAATTCTTTTGGGTCACATGAACCATATTATCCAAATTGTTCTACGAGTTTTAATTTATTGAGACCAAATCCTTATTCCATAATTTGAAATCTAAAAGTCACTTAAAATTGTTATGGAATTTGAATGTATGCATAAATGGTGTATTTTATCAGAATTGAGAATGATCCAGTGTTATTGTTTATAATATACATGTTTCTTACGACAAGACTTTTTGAAGGTATGGTTTCAAGCAACTTCATAAATAATACTTTTAAATAAGACTTATTTTGAATGCTACTTGATGGAGAAAAGAAAGGTAATATTTTGTTGTGCGAAATCAGAGAAATTAGATCTTGGGGAATTGTTCTATGATTGTCAGTGCTCCATTATAGCAGTTCACCTCCTGAGAAGCTGACATTTACGTGGTGTTCCTGAATGCAGCATGCCTCTGACTGGCAGAAAGACGTCCCTTCTCGTCCCTCCTCTTCGGATAAAGTCAAGATTAGGGATCTCAAAGTGGTGCAAGTGCCAATGTTTTGTGCATTTGACATTACGTAACACATTTAAATACTTTTATTACATTAAAATGAGCATGTACAGTGGCAAATGCACACAAATGGCAAATCAAAATTCATTTCACATTATAATAATATTCCTTTCTCTGCTGTACTATCTCACTAAAACATCTATATAGTTTAACTAAAACCCCACAAGAGAAGGTCAATCCTAGCACAGAATTCCACTCAACAATTCACATTGCAATGAAACACAATTTCGAATTTTGGTAGTAACATAAAACAAATACATTATATTGTGCCTAATCTATACATGAAAATATATTCCTATTATTTAAGATTAATATAACATGTTAGCATAACAAAGAGGTCAGTTGTGCACAATGTCGAAATGCCCAATGGAAACAAGCACCAATAAATCATAAAAAAAAACGTTTCATCACGAATAGGGCCTAACATAACTATCTGACATTTTAAACACATTCAACATGACATTCAATTGTGTCTTTAACTTTTGTTTTGCTTTGTAGCCGAAATTAATATATTTTAATTGGTTGGATTAGTTATTTTTAAGTTCTATTTATGGCAGAGGAGCCTCGTAGTAAACATCCTCTCCAATATCTTCCTCAAACTTCACTTTGGCGTCATCAGCGTCCAACTGTAAAGAAAAACAAAATAGACATGAACTTAAGCAACAAAACTAATACTTAATACTACTATGAATGCAAATGTAAATAATATTGGCGGGAAATGATAACATTTTTTACTAATAATCGCATATCTTTTAAAATGTGATCGCGATTAAAGAATGCCCAAAAATGTATTGCAGTTTTAGTGTGTTGTCAACTTCTAATAAGCATTCATTCATTCTTTTTTTAATCTATTACATAATTACATGTGTCTAGTAAACGACTGATAGAACCTCAGAAAAATTTGCTTAAATGTAATACATACAAAAAAATGCTGTTATGCAATGTGAACAATGGGCCACTCCATATAAACAATATCTCTCTTCAGGATTTTTTTTTATTTCATTGTTGAGTTTAGACTTTCAGAAATATCTCTGTGTGTCTAGAGACTTTATATAACAGCAGTATGTGTTCACGGAGGAGCACCATAAGTTTATTTTATTAGTAAAGAGTACTTCTGCATTGGGGAGCACGTTAGCAACACTTGTTTACAGTCACAGGAGCATGAGAACTGAGCCATTAAACATGATCTTGAGAGTATTTACATTGGCATTTCATGTTTTAGAACGTGAAATATTTTCCTAAGTAAACAAAATTATGGATAAACATGCATAATGGACAAAGAAAGAGGATCTAGTGTACTGAATCACTTCCATCAAGGGGAAAAATATCTGATTGGAAACATGCCAAATTGTCATATGACTGGAGACATTTCCAAAACTAATTTGGGAGAAATCATTTTGTTTTAAAGGCAGGACAGAGGAGATGGAGATATGTATTTGAGCTGAATTTTGCCAAGTTTCTCAAAGTGCTGGATCTAAAAACAACTCAAAAAAACTTTGTACAATTTGCCCCTTAACTTTAAGTAGTTGTACAGTACTTACGCATTTCATCTCGAGCTCGGTGAAGACGGAGCCGGTCATGAACATCCGCAGAGGGATCGTGAGCAGCAGCACAAAAGGCAGAGCCAGAGAGAAGCTGCTCATCTTCACCACCCACAGAGCGGCTAAACAGATGATCTGAATGAGTGTGAAGAGGTGCATGCGTGATGTGGCCACCTGCATAACACAAGAAGGACACATTTCAAAGTGTTAAAAGGGTCAACAGGATGCACTTTTCAAAAGTCAAATTATTATTATTTTTTTCCATATCCCAGGATTCTCAATCATAGAATATAAACAACACTCAGAACAACGTGTCAGAATTAAACCTGAATATTAAAACTCATACGGGCGGCTAAATAGAATGATTTTCTGCCTGGACTTAGACTAGGCCAGAGATGACGCTTCCTGTACATATTTAGGAGGACTAGGGGAATTGATGGTACATAATCAATCATGTACACAGGTCAAGCTAGTTACAAATGGAATGGGTGATGAATTGTGATATTGTTAATGTAATAAAATATTGGATATGGTTTGGTGCTAAGACCCCAGTAAAAATAAAGCATGATAATACTATATGAGAAGAAATATAATAGATACTGTGAAAGTGAAATGAATTGATGAACAAATGAATTGAAGAGTGAATATCCTCCAGTTGAGATGGTGATGGGGAGGAGGCAGGTTGCTGCACGAGCTGAAAGCTTAATGCAAAGCTGTTGAGTACTGTTTAAATGCAGCAGGTGAAGGGTGATTAGCCGAGGAATAGGGATGTGGTAGTGGAGGACAAGACAACCACATTATTCCTGTTTACATTGGTAAATGGTCATATCATGTGTTTTCTGTCTAACTTTGTGTAAAAGTATGTGGGACCCCATAAAAAGTTTACCCTGGTGGCGTAGGCGTTGTCGGGGTGGTACTTTTTTGGTGTAATGAGCAGAAGAATCCGGTCCCACATCTGGACTCCACTCAGAGACGTGATTCCCATGTAAAGAAAGATCCCGAACAGAGCCGTCATAGGAATCAACTTCAGGAGAGGCTCCATGTAAATCGAAACACCTTCAGGGCACAAGTTACAACCATTACCAAATATTCACATCCTCACAAACATTACATAGTCCAGGTTCTTTTACCAAATTTGGTTTAAAGATTTGCAATGCAACACAACGAAACCCAAGTTTTTGGACCTCAATAACTCAGCATAGTGCAAACCTCAGCTCTAAACTACATATGTTTGTTCGTCAGGACCAGAAAGAAAAAGTATGATTTCAACAAGATTATGATGAGATGTTTCCAATAAAGAAAAAGACAGCTTGTGGGGGGTCTGAACACTTTTACTTTTACTGTGATCCAAGTGATATTTTATGAAGTTTTCTTTTGGTACTTTGACACATATGGTGATTCTCGTTGTGAACTGCTTGAGAACGTTCTCATGTTGGCTCAGTCTATATATTTCCTCTGCTCTTTGGTTGGTGGCATTGCATTTGTTATTCAAAACACTGACTCCATGACATCTAAAGTCTTACCTGATACAAGTCCAGACATTTAAGCTGTTAGAATTAAGGGAGTCTCTCATTTAATGGCATATATGGAGAAAAAATAAATCATTCTTTAAATCAAAAACCTTGAACATGATTGTAGTGTCCTCTCCCACAAGATGGCAGCACTCACCAACCAGCATGGCCACAGCAATGCCACTGATGCGCTGCTCCACCACCTTTTCGATCTCAGGCTTAGGGCCCTTGGACATGACCGTGAGTGCGTTGGCGTGGGTCACGGAGCGGACGGTGGCAGCGCTCAGCCAGGGGACCCCGAAGACAGAGGAGATGCCCCCCATGACGACCAGCAAGAGCAGGTCAAAGTGGAAACCAGAGCCCTTTATCATCTTCCTCTCAGGTTTGCTCACAATCAAACTGAAACACCAGAGAAAGACAGAAACATAAGTTAATTACTTATAGATACAAGTGAAATTAATCCCTTAAATTCTCCTGTCCATTGATGGTTGATTTACTCTAATTACAAGTGGAAATAATCTGTTTTTTTATTTATTTTGCTTAGGAAATCTACTAAGTAAGTCTGGTTTCTGGAGGATTGTCTGATAAACAAGAGACAAGACAGGATAATGAAACTAGTTTTTAAGACTCTTCCTCAAAACCTTTTGTTGTTGTTGCATAAAAAAGTGGGATGCAGCTTGATTTGTATGGTTTATGTCCATGAAACATGTAAATGAGTGATTGAAAGTAATATTTTAAATGTTATAAATAATAATATTTATTAGAGTACTATCATAACAAAGGACCAAAACAACAATTTGTAAAATTATCTTTTACATTTCACATCTCTGAAACAATTATTATTCAAAGTGGATACAAAACTATTCCATGAAGTACATGGTTCTAACATTTATTCAATTCAATGTATTCTTGAATCGCCCTAAATTATCTCAGAGGACTTAACAAAACTGTTGAATTCGCCAACACAAATCAGGGAATCAAACAGTTCACACCCAATTAAAAAAGAGTTTTATACAGAGATTGTAATTACAATGTTTGGTTTAGTTTAGTTTATTCATTGTTTCAGTCAGTATCATCCCTGAGACTACAATAGTCTACAAAGCATAAAGACTATTCTAGTATGAGTGATGATATGGACTTAAAAGAAAATGTAAATCTAAATGTAAAGACTGAAAGTGTTTCTCACGTTGTAATCTGCGACTCGAGGAAGATGAGGATGAAGACGAGCAGCGCCGGGACGCAGCTCGCTCCCATCATCCAGATCGGGAACGGCTTCTTCTCTCCCATGGGGTTTATGAACCAGCCTCTCGCACTGGGGTTGGTCACCTCCACACCTTTGGGCACCACCAGTTTCTACAACATGAGATACTTTAGACAGAAGAAAAAGATACAACACGAGGCACAAATAAAATACAATCCCACATTAAGTGAAACATTCGCTAAACGCAAAAGTGGATCAGTTAAAGCACAATATTGTGTTTACCTGCGTGTAAGCATCGTCGATGCTCATATCCACAAAAACCATGAGGAAGATGGCGATAGGCACACCAAAGTCACCAATCAAACGACGAAGCTAGAGAAGTGTAATGAAAACATTGTAAAAACACCACTGAGAAAATGAATTATTAATTGCTTTTTAACTAAAAATACATTACAAAACTGTAGTATTAATGTACGATGCAATTGGCTGCACTAATGCAATCGAATTGAAACTGAATAAATAAAGTGTACATTTTGCAAATAGCAGTTTGATGGTGAAAGTGCCTAGAACCAAGTGAAATTCCCCAACGAATCAACCAAATGTTTGAGTTAATGTATTTTATCCAAATGAGACATCTAATCGCTTTTCAATCTCCTTTCACAAAAGGAGAAAGCGGTCAAAATCTGAGGTCTTTTCTGCTTGAAGAATATTGTTTTATACTATATGTAATACATATAGTATATATATATTGACAATTTCAGTTAATTTTGTGTATATCAATATGTAGACTTTTTAAAATTACCATATTACTAGTTATAGTTGTTATAACACTCAGGATATCTAAAATCACACCGCAATTACAATTTTGCTCACAAATATTGCATTTACATGTTTTTTTTACAAATTATCCTGCCCTAGTGAAAAGACATTATCGTTGGTTCATACTAAAGGTTTTACATTTGGTTAGGTAGTATTAGCAAATAACCCACAGGTCCAGGGAGGTAGGGCCCGTTCTTGAAGATACGGAGGGCGTAGGCGATGAAGAAGCATCCCAACATGAGGCACATGGACAGCAGTGCGGTGTTGGGGAAAGCTTTGTCTTCCTGGGTGATGGTTATGTTTCCGTCAAGGTTGTGGCCCCTCACAACCTTGACGAGTGGATGGAACGGGGTTTCTGACGAGGCATTCAAGGCATCGTAGTTCAGGATCAGAGGGTGGGCTTTGAAAATCTGAAAGGTTATTCAGGTGAGCAACAAGGTGAGGAAAGTTACCAATAAGTGGGAATAAGTAATGCATGGGTTGATACAAACTGGGAGTGTGGACAGCATCAAGAAATATCAACACATTTTGATTCTCATTCCAAAATAAAAGGTTACTTTGTATTTTGAAAAACATTTGATTTGGGTATACCTATTCGATATCACTACAGAGTTTCTGCACTTTCATATAAAATGGATCAATATTAATGTCAGATGGATGTGTGGATGGGAAAGTCTGGGGTCTTTTTTTTAAACAGCTGCCCCCGCAATCCAACATAGATTTTTGATTCTACTATTCAATAACAGCCTAAGTAACCACCTTGCCGAGCTTAGAGAACGTCTCGTAGATGAAGATGAGTGAGATGAGGATGGAGAAGATTTCTTGAGTGAAGCGTGAGAGGAATTTGACCATGAAACTGCCCTCCACCGCCACGACGAGGATCACTATGACGATGAGCCACATGCCCACCCAGATACGCCCCACGATGTATTCCATGTCACTGGCCTTGCAGAACTGGGATGGAGAAATTAAATGAGGGTGACATGATGATCAGTAGTAGAATTAGCGACAATGAGTTATAGCTGTGTGTCGTAGAAGAAGTAGAAGAATTTTTTTTAGTAATGACCACTCAGAATAATAGTATTATTTCTGGTGGACATTAGGCATGGAGATTTAGTGAAGTGGATGTTTCTAATATCTCACTCATAGGACTGCAATATAGAACATTGGTTAAATTATGGAAATGACCTCCCAGGTGGCAATGAAAAGGCACAATTTGGCCTCTATTGAAACCAATGAAAGTACAGTATAATTTTCTGGTGTAATAAATTTAATGTAGTAGTAGTAGTAGTAGAAGGAGTCTAGTAAATGAAGTAAGAAGTACGTGTTGCAGAAGTAGCAGCAACAGTAGTAGTAATAGTAGTAGTAGTAGCAGTAGTAGCAGTAGCAGTAGTAGTAGTAGTAGTACTAGTGGTCTCAGTAGTCTCAGTCATAAGTGTAAGCTGTAAATTAAGTAAGAAGTATTTGTTGCTGCAGTAATATGAGTAGTAGTAGTGGTAGTACTAGCAGCAGTGGTAGTAAGTACAGTCTAAAACGTACCATATAAAAGGCCTCTTCAAACAAAAGCAGTGGTCCTGAGAATCCAATGACGAGAACAGGCTGAGCGGCAAAGATGCAGAAGATGATTCCTTGGATACAGGTGGAGACCATGAGCTCTGACACACCCATCCACTTGTCAGTTTTATCAGCTAGAAAGAAAAAAAGTCAAAGTGTATTAACTATCGTGAAACCTGTTCAAAACCTGTTCAGATGCTTCACATTCATTCATTCCACTACAAACCATTCATGCTAAACCAATCCAACTCATAGTAGGCAATGTGGGTGGATGAAGTGTTTTGCCCAAGGACACAATCACAGATTTGATGCTGGACTCAGGCACCTGGTGTTCCCAGAAGTCACACCAGGCCCTGCCCACTCTCCCATGGCTTCTGAGATCTGACTAATCACGTGAGGTTTATGATACACTTTATAAATCCCTGTAGTGAAATTTGCCAACAGGGCACAGCTGTCGTCACAGTGCAGATGTTGATGCTGGGGGACTTGAACCTATGCTGCACGTCCAGAGGAAACCCACCCAAACATGGGGAGAGACACGCAAACTCCAGACAGAAAGGCCTGGGCAGACACAGGAGCAAACCCACAACCTTCTTGCTGTGACGCATGAATAACACCCACTCAGCCAAATGAAAAACAAATACTATTCTTGTGACATTTAGTGACGATGCAAAAGATCAAAATATGTTCTTTAAGGTCAAACTAATAAATGTTTTTACACAGAAGTCCTCCGAAGGTGATGGCTGGGGACAGAGCGGCGAAGTAGATGAAGATGATGGCAGCGAGCACTTGGGGGTTGAGTCCATCCACGTAGTCGCTGATGTAGTGACGATAGCGGCGCTTTATGTCCCTGATCATCCCACCGAAGGGGTATCCTGTCCGGGCCAGAGGGTCCTCCCGCGGGGGCTCCGGGGCCTTGCCACCTATGGATAATAATCACAGATTGATATGATGCATGTTGTGATGTGTATTGTCAGAATCTGCTTAAAAGTCAAAAAGGGAAAGCAAATAAGGTTATAGCTCATACACAGTGTAAATGACAAGTTCAATATTTTGAAATTGTCATCTGAAATAGTCATGAGACAAAAACAAGCTAAACTATGTGTGTGAGAGATATTAAACTTGTGATTCCCTGTCCATGTGTGTAATGCAGGAGATATGAACCTGTGAGTCTGTCTCCAAACGCCAGGCGGTTGTCTATTGGGCGCAGACGGTCACGCAGCATTTTGCTCTGGAACTTGATAATCGGTTCAAGCATTTTCTGGTCCTGGATCTCAGTGGGAGGAAGCACAATGCTGCAGTCCATAAAATCTGCGATAGCATCTGTTACGTCTTTGTCCGTCTGAGCCAAGAAAGCCTCGAGGCAGAAAACCTGTGATCAAATTTGACACAGAAAACATTATTGGTAGGTCTTTTTTACTCATATAAAGCAAAATAAGTGACCTTAACCCTAGATGTATTTATAATGGAGAGGCAACATTAGTGGTAATAATCGTTAATAGTTTTTAGTAGGAGTAGATCTACACCATGTTATATGTCAATCTACCAAAGCCATTGACCCCTCCGACCAATCATTCACAAACACACAGGACTTATACTAAAAAATGTGGGTAAATAGCACCCCACTGTGGTACATTGTGTTCCCAGTGGTCTCCCATCACAGACAAGACACTACTCTGCCTAGTTTCTGAGATCTGACAGGATCAGGCTTTCACATGCAGGTTGCACTGCCTTGTTTTAATGTGAAGCAGTAGTTATGAAGCAGTGCTTGAAGCTATAGTAGTTACAGTTGTAATACAAGTTCTAGAAAGTATGTTTTCCCTCTATTTTTGGTGCAGCACTTCAGAACCATTTGTATTCATAACATATAATATAATAACATATAATACATATAACATATCAATACTGATTTTAGACTTTGGCTGCGGCTGGAGCAATTATAGTTGTGAAATAGACCCTTTGGAATTGAGGGAATGATAGTAATAAAAATAATTAAAATCACAGGAAAAGTGGTAGTGGTAATTTTAGTGGAAGTCATTGTGTAAAGGTTGTAGTAGAAGTGGTAATGTTAGTGGTGGCTATAACTTTGGTCCTCTATGGAGCAGTTGGAATTGGAGTGTAGTGAATTGGAGCATTGTATTGTCTTATACCCAGTCGGCCATGAGTGCACCCATGGCTCTCCCGGTCTGGCTGTAGTCCAGGCCGCTAGTGCTGGGTCCGACCAGGACAAAGACAAATCGGACTGGGACAGGAGACTCCAGAGTGGACGGCATCACCACAGAGTCCCTGAGACGGACGAAAGCCACTGCCGGCTTTTGTAAGTTCTCCACAACACCTGAAAGCCACAGGCGTCACACAGCTTGCAGTTTGCATGAAATAGTCCTAAAAGCTGAGGTACCTAATTTCAAAACAACAACAAATGTTACTTTGTATGTAAGTCCATATATCATATTTTTTGGCCTCTGTACATTTGTAGTGTGAAAAAGAGAGGACCACTTTTAAATAGTAACAAAGAAATTAAATGTTTTCTGATCAGATGAAAAACGCGTGTTGTGGTCTGATTTGCTCACAGTATTTTATTTTTCACAAAGCTCTTTCTGTTGGGAGAAAAACATGTATTATTTATAAAACAAATAAGTTAGGTAATCCAGTTTTAAGATTTTATTTCACTAGTTTATATGTGAAAATAAAACGGAGTGGATTTTTTTGAGAAGAATTGGTTTTAAATATAAATAGAATAAATGTCCCTACTCTGTCTGCAAAAATAACAGAGGCGGGACACAGAGAAGTGATTTTGAAATGGAGCTAAAGATTTCAAAACAAGTCATATCTTCTTACAATGTATTTAATTGTAAATAATAAACTAAAGCCACATCTGACTTAAAGTTAAAATCGAATAGCACATAAATTTGTCTTTTTTGTAGGTGTTGGAAAGTGTCTTGCCAAAGGACTTGAACTTTATAGTCACAGCAGCCCCACTCATTGAAAGAACTCTTTTGAGACGTTGTTGTAAATCCTTCTGCTCACTGATGTTATCTATAATTCATCTGTTATGCTTGAATTTCTGCAATTTACTTATTTTCACAGACACAATGAACAAAGCATTTTTTTGTATTAACATAATGCTATGACACACATGCTACATTCTTATCTTGGTATGAACATGATGAAACAAAACACATACCTGAGAGGACAACAGAGGCTTCCATGCTTTCAGAGCCGTCTCTCTGAAAAAATAAAAATAAAATATTGATTGAATATACAATGAAATACAAATAATTGAATTCAACAGCAAGTTAAAACTGAAAAGGGGATAACTACCTTTTGAGAGACAGAAAAAGTCTGCAGTTGAATGGCCCCACCCTCAGTCACAGCAGGGGCCTCCATCTGACTGAACGTAGTGTTAAACATAATGCCATTAAGAAGAAAAAAACAAAATAGCAATAGATAATATTAAAAGACACATTATCGTACATCTTTTAGCTTTTTTCTTGGCTTTATATTCCAACATTTCCCCCATCAAAAACATTGTTGTATTGAGCTTCATAAACTCGCACCCTCCCGTCCCCCTCACAGAAAAATCCCTATCCGTCTGATCTGCGCCGAAGGTTTTTTTCTTCTGTTTTGAAAATATTCATAAACTCCACACTTGTTCATTCAAAGTACAACATCATGTCCAAGAATGCTCTAAATGCCATGCAATAACAGCTGCATTTCCCCCTACCACCAGTAGAGGGTGGTGCTCACAACAATAAGAGTGTCAGAAGCATGGATCGAGGTCAGAAGGCACGATGATTATCAGTAATGAGTAGGCCTAGTAATGTGACTTTTCTATGCAGGTACATTCCAGATTCTAAAACACAAAATGCTGGATTTTAATTTTGGTACCAAACGTTTCTCTAAATGATATATTGAATTTGTTTTCCTCTATGGAAAGTGTAAACATCCTGACGTGTGAGTAGTGGTCAAACATCTATACCAGCGAATAGCATCAACGGTTCCTTTCACTGTTTGAAAGCCGGATCCCAGCTTTAAGTAGGTACCTAAATATCTCTTCATACCTGCGCCTCATCAGCAGAGCCCTGAGCAGAGCCTCTCGATCAACAGCCCGGATCTCATTTTTGTTCAGGAGCTCGTCCACTATCTTCTCAGACACTGTGGATAGACTGCTGGCATCCAGGTCAAAGATGAAGGCACCTAAAGAGAAAGAAAACTGCTCACATACAATAATCGTTTTCATGCACACAACTCTTCTAATGCACATGCCATCCATCCATCCATCTTCTTCCCCTTAATCCATTTCTGGGTCGGGGGGGGGTGGCCAGAGATGCCACCCAGTCCACAGAGCACCAGCCCCTCACTGATCCTCCTGCAGGTGGTGAGTCCACAGGAGCTGAGATCTTTCAGTGGGGGCTTCAGGCAAAGTGGGGTTAAGTGTCTTGTCCAAGGACACAACGACAGCAGTCATCAGTGGGAGTCGTGACTGCTGTCGTTGTGTACATGATCAGCGGAAAATGATTTTTTTTCTGTGGTTTCCAGTGTGACATCATCCTCACATCCAGGTTCAAAGCCAACTCCAGGGGAGTCCCTAAAATCTTGGTATTTTGTCCCACTGGAAGTCACCATTGCCTTTTTGCCAACTCTAAACTTAAATTACCTAGCCATAACCTTGAACCTAATCTTAACTGGATTAAGACCTAATGTGAGTAAAGAAATGGCTTCAAAACTTAAATATTTACCTCAGCTCGGGATAAAATACCAACATACATAGGAAGTGTATTCAAAGTCCCAAATTAAACCTTTTCATCTTTCTATTTAAACTCTATGCTCTCCATTTGTAAATAAAATATCAAATTGAAATGTATAAAGTTTAAAAGGAAGTGGTTTGAATTGATAAAGGTAGGCTAATGCTATGCTAACAGCTGTAACGTAGCTGTAACGTAACAATTTAACGATTCTGTGACATTTCAGACAACTCTTAAAATAGGAAAGGAAAAATAACTGCCAAAGAAATGTAATCTTACATTATGAGAACTAAGACTGAAGTAGACCAACCTTTTGTTAACAAATTGCATTAGAAAGGACCTGGATGTTCAGGTTCTTCGTTGGTAGTAATAGACTTCTTTGTAGTTGTTGTTTTTTTCATCCCAAAGTTTGTTTTTATTCATTAAATACTTGCCTGCCTTGCACTAAATGTGGTTGTGTGTGTTTATAAAGCAGGACGATGGTGTTTTATGAAAGGTCACCTGTGCTCATTGCCTTTCTGAGCTGGATGAGGCTCTTGAAGGTGAGGTAGGAGACATGGGAGTCGCTCCATACGCCGGTGGCTGGATTCAGGTTCTCCTCAAAGCCGACCCATCGAGCCGTCTCCTGCCAGCTGTTCCCCTGCAGCTCACTCAGCTCCACATAGGACTGGAATCACAAACACCTTCCTCAAGACATGGATGTAAGGGTATGATGATCACCATGTCCCTTTTACTGTACCTAACAAAGCAGCCTTTTCCAATCAGTTCTTGAATGCTATCATATTTTAGAATTAAGTCAAATTGGATGCTTTTTATTAAGAGGGCCACTTTAGTTAACCAGACTTGTCCAGGGGCTGATGATCCGGATTGTAAATTGTTTTGACAGGCTGTTCTGAGATGATAAAAACAATACTAAAGTGAGCTGAATGTAAACAATTATTACTAGCAACACAAGTGTCATATATAGATTTTTGTGCCATGATCACAGAGAAATTCTGGTTTAGTCCAACAAAGTCAATGTATGTAAGGAAGTAATCTTTATTTATGACTGGATTGAAGAGGTCCTGAGCTGTAAAATGAGGTACCACATATTGGCGGAGCGGAAATTGGCTGGATTTTTATTTTTCTCCTCGGTTTCTGGGCCTACTCTGGCTTTGGTTAATAATTATCAATCATTCATGAATCCGAGAAAGTATTATGGCAACATGGTATGATGGTATTATGGTATGGTGGCATTTTTTTTTGTCAAGTACCATGTTAGAGAGCACTTGAGGCAAATTTGTAAACAATACCCTGTGTTCAATTTTCCAAAAGATTGACTAAATATCCATTGCTTGTCTTGGGGTTTTGAAGGACATGAGCCAGTTGCCTTTAATAGCGATAAATTTGACACATACTATCAGTAAAGAGAAGACTATGTTTATCCCAAAGTGAAGAATGAAATGATCATAACATAAACACATAAAACTTTACCCCGCTAAGTGTGACCCCATTTTCTCACCATTACAGAAATAGCATAAAAAAAACAACCAACCTGTGCATCCCCTCGAGTGGTGGCATTGGTGTTTGCATTAAGGTAAGCTGCAAAAACACAAGATTTCAATTAATGTTGAACAAATTATTGCGATAATGTGGTCCTTTGTGAATCATCAAACAAACCATCAGAATCAAATGGTATGATAACATTCTTCATACGGTCATCCTCCTCTTCATCGTAGTCACCAGCGATCACAGGTGAAGGCCTTCAGTGGTGGAGACAGAAGCAGAAGCCAAAGTCACATTGGTTTTAGGTATCATAGTTTGTTATTATACAATTATTTGGTAGAAACAAACACGTAATAGGATAAATCAGTATTGGTGTAAACTCAATATAAAATACTATACAAGTTACTTCAATGATCGACATAATTTTCATAGTTCACCGATAGGGGGCAACATTGCACTGATAGAAAAAAAAAACTGCTGCTCTTATCAGCATCAGCATTTTTGGACATGTAAAAAGCCTATAACAAAACTGCAACCCATTTCCCCATATGAACTTTCCTGGAATTGTACAAAACTACAAAACTAATGACATTTTATAATTTATGATAATAATACTAACAACAATAATATTATCAATAAAGTGAATTTCAAAATAACTGCTCACATTTGTAGAGGTGAGCGCAGGGCAAAGTCACTGACTTCATATGACATGTCACTGCCCTAGAAAACAAACAGTTTTGTTGTGGATTGTTTTTCTCTTTTCTCAGTTCAAATATTGAGAAGAATAAAAGGTATTCAACCAACCTCTTCAATATTATAATTGCAGTCCATGGTCTGTGTTGTTGGACTACTGTCAGGTATTGTACAGAAATACCTAAAGAAAACAAAGGCATGTAAAACATAAGTAACTATAAAAGTCTGCAGTCATAGTTATCGTAGTGAGCTGTCAGTCTGCTGCTGGAGATAAGGACCAACCATAGAAGCAATGAGACCAACACAAAAGTAGTATTCCATTATAAAAAGTAATGTTTAAATGATACAACATCAGTAACATACTTGACTAGTAATCAGGAACCCAAACGTTGATTGTAATTATAACTAATTAAAGATAGTCGTAGATATATGCATAACAAGGCAAACTAATATTCTAATGCAATAAAATGCCAGACATAAATCGCACTCAATATGTATCTTGGAAATTATGTCTCACATAACCTAATGATAATTATATCACTTTGATACAATAATCTTCAATCGTTCAGTTGAAAGGTGAAAACTTGTGCACTTCAGAAATATATTTCTAAACATTCTAATATTAATCTAATATTGATACTATTGTTTTGTATATTGATATATCTGATCATTTTGTGCATGCATATTGTATAGTTCTCCTGCATTTTCCACGATGAAATCCAAGACAGTAGTTCAGGTCTTTGCAGCCTGACCTGTGGTCTTTGTTCCACTGGTCAAACGCAGAATGAGCTACAGAAATGAAGCCACGCCCCTTACCTGTGCACAGGTGCTCACCTGGTCTGCAGAGGGAACAGCTCCTTAAAGCTTGGAGCCCAGAGCCCACAACGCACTCTTCTCCTGCGCACCGAGACTGAAACTGGCAAAAGAGCGGGAACACCCAAAATCTAACTACGTCGGCCTGGGACCCCTAACCTAGTGTTGCTTAGTAACTAGTGAGGGGAAAGAGAGATAAGGGCGAACGACAGACAAATGGCTCTATCAGAGAGAGGCACCTGGACTCAGGGATACCCCAGCCCTATGGGTCGCTCCGCCCTCCTGCGGCTCATAGTCAGAACTTATGAGGGGCAATGTTCCATGTCACATATCAAATGGAAAAAATCTAAATACGTCATAAGTTTATGTACTTGGGTTTTCCAAGGTGAGGGGGCCTCCCTTATTGATTGTTGTTGTCATTAAAACATTTGTCCAGTGTGTGACTCAGACCTCTTGGATGTGGTCTGTTAAAAAACAAAAGTTGTCATGTAGTAATGTTATTACCAAATCAAGGACAACCAGGAGCAGTAGCGTAGTAGCTCCAGCCTTTTGGGTCAAGACCAGTGTTCTGAGTTGATTAGATTGTTTGACAAAGGCAGCAAATGGATGTGGAAGGATCTACTGTATGCTGCAGTGCGACCTAAACGGTAGGTGGTCCAAAATATGGCCTAACGTCAAATGTGGCCAGAACATTTTTTGTTGGTCCCCAGGCTTTCTGATGAATCAACCCACATTATGGCTGAGAAGTACATTTCCATAAAAGTCTTCCATTAAATATTATGTTTAGGAGCTGAATTAAAGTGATGTGTCTGCAAACTTGAAAATGTTTTTGAAATGTCATGTGTGGCCCTCAATCAATCAATCAATCAATCAAAGTTTATTTGTAGAGCGCCTTTCATACACAGGGCAACACAAAGCGCTTCACAGTCCACATCACAAATCATCACATAAAACAAACACCAGAATCACAATTAAAACATTAAAATCACACAAAAGATTAAAACACAATTAAAACAGTAAAATCACACAAAAGAATAAAACCATTAAAACTTTCAAAATTACACAAGAAATTTAAAAAAAATAAATAAATGACAGCAGTGCATTAAAAATGGAGATAAAATCCTTCAGTTATATGCACAGGCAAACAGAACAGTCTTTAACCTGGATTTGAACATTGACAGAGTAGACGCCTCCCTCACATTTTCAGGGAGATTGTTCCAGATCTTAGCTGCATGGATCTGAAACGCAGCCTCCCCATGTTTGGTTCTCACTCTGGGCACCAGCAGGAGGCCAGTCCCTGTGCTCCTCAGAGTCCGGGCCGGTTCATATGACACCAACATGTCACTAATGTATTCTGGTGCAAGGCCATGGAGAGACTTGTACACAAGCAGAGCCGTTTTAAAATCTATTCTTTGAGCCACAGGAAGCCAGTGCAGAGACCTGAGGACCGGACTAATATGGTCATACTTCCTGGTTCCTGTCAGGACTCTAGCTGCTGCAATGAAAATTCACTCACTCCAATCAAATGTCAAAGTTCTACTATAAATCTTTCAGTATTCAGAGGATCAAAGCTCAACCTAAAATGAATATTCAGCACATTCAAAAACTTAAAAAGTCGTTATCAGCGGCTGTACCAGCTATCTGCTTTGCCCATATGTTCAAGTTTATAACTAAGGAGCCGCCCTCGAAATGTAGTGACGCATACTTTCCATAGAGACCCCTGCTCTGTCTGGAACTAAAATAAGCGATAAAAAATATCTATATAAAAAGAAAAAAAATAGCATTATATAGCTATACAAGTTTCAATGTGAACTATACCTGATACAGTCACAATAGTAAGTGAACATATTATCCAAACGATCTGTAGGATCTAGCGCCACCCTGGGTCACATTAAGTATAATACCCAAAGGCATATGATATACAAGCAGTAGCAGTTGCGTAGACATAACCCCGGAGGGAGATCTATATTAAGCGGTCTTACATCAGCAGTGGCAATAACTGTAAACATGTTTGCTGCTTGATATTTGAATTACATAGAACAGACACTGCAATTTATGGATTTCTTTTTTTTAATCTTTCAAATAAAAATGGCATACAGTATGTTTGACCTGGATTTCCATTGGCAGTCCTAGATCAGTAAAAAAAAAAAAAAAAAAGCAATGCAACTAAAATGGTAAATCTATCCATGTTAGTCATGCAATTACAATTTTGAGTTTTGCTTAAGAAGAAAATGTAAGTGCATACAATAATTAAACTGTAGACTGACATATAGAGGAAGGCGATCATTCCTCTTTGGGCATAAATTGCATGACCTAAAACACATTTATAAATTGCTGACACATTATAAACAATTAAAGTTGAAAACAAAAAACTGGAGCAGTGAGTTATCAGGGCACGACTGCTCCCTTCTCCTTTTCTTTGTTCACATCTGAAAGGACGTCAGGATGGGCTCATCATACAATAGCCTTAACATTTTAAACTACTGTAATCATTAACAGCCTTAAGTCCTGAGATGTCGACAGAGAGAGGAGCCAGGGAGCGAGATGTTATCAGAAAGCAGTCAGTAAAGGACGATGGCAGGAGCTCTTGAACATGTGAGAATATAGACCATGTTTGGAGTCTTTGCCGCATGGACCAGTTCCGGTGTCACTGGTGCCCCGATGCTCTCACGGATGGGCGCTTACAAGATCACGCAAGGTGGACGGCTCTTGGTGATCTTTTCTACGCCTTTCCCATCAGCTGCGTTTTGAACTTGCAGCTTGATCTATAAACAAAAAGGGCAAGGCTTGTTAGTTAGTCAATACAGAAGTAATTCGGACAAGTATTAGTTTTCAAGTAGAAAACTTGCTGAATTCCTGGTTCTAATTTCACATATTTGAACCAGGAAGTACAATCATATCAGTCCAGTGCTCAGGTCTTTGCACTGGCTTCCTGTGGCACAGAGAATAGACTTTAAAGCAGCTTGTTTCCCATCTCGCTTGCAACTTGTGTACAAGTCTCTCCATGGCCTCGCCAAAGTACATCTGTGACACGTTAATGCCATATAACCCAGCTCAGACTCGAGGAGCACAGGGACTAGCCTTTTGTTGGTGCCCAGAGTCACGACTAAAAATGGGAGGCAGCATTTCAGATGTATGCCCCTAGAATGTAGTATTGTTGAGTATTGAGTATTGTTTTTATTCTATGAATGTTGTACCTAAATTGTTATGTGGATAATTTTATGTCTTTGTAAAGCACTTTGGGTTGCAAAACATAAATATTGCTTTAAATAAACGTGATTGATATGGGTGTAGAAAAATAAACCAACAATGCATGTATGTTCAAGGTTATACATACATTCCCTGCAACCCCTGGAGCAATTTTTCTCTGCACATTATTCAAATATGATTAACATTTTCTATGTACACTTCTTTTCCTGATGCTCAGCTTTCTTTAGCAGATTTGCATGCAGAGCCCACAGAAATATCAAGTGCTCTGTTTTGTAACACAGCATTCGTGCTTACATCATCCTCATAGGGAAAGCCACCGGTTTCAAGCTTGGAGAAGACAAGCTGCCCATTGATTTCGATCTCAAAGCTGCCTGTAATGCAAAACAACAAGATACACAGTTATAACTTGACAATAAACTTCCTGTTGCAACATCACTTGTATAATTTAGCCATTTTTATTATTACTTGATCTTCCCACGAAGCCCGACACGTCCGCCTCAGGATACTCATCCTTTATAGAAAGGGCGAGCTCCTGGTAACGGGGCCCGTAGCCTCATCCGCCACTAAAGAGAACAAAAACAACTTTTATAACAATTATGCTCGAGTCATGCACTTGCTTTTTGAGGCGAAGCTAGCTAACAGAAGCTAACACCCTCTGCTAACAAACCATGGTGGATATTCCCCCTAACCTCCAAACGGAGTGATCTAATCCAAACAAAAATGACACCATGAAAGGCAATTACCAGTACTCCACTTTTACAGTCATGGCCATGTTTGCAGTTGTGTTGGAGCCTCCCTGTCACAGAGAAGCTACAGCCCGTGTGTGTGTGTCCTGTACGGTCCTGAACAGCGGCTGCGGTCTGTGTGAAGGGGCGGGGACTGGACACTTAGTTCCGGGTGTCTCCAACAACATTCGCTTTTTTTAATTATTAATACTATTATTATTATTATACTTTATTGTTGAGGACATACGATCTGTAGGTAAAATAAAATATAAAATACACAAAGTAAATTGCATATTAAAAAAATTTACATAAAAAAGAATATTACTGCCGCTGTACAGTATAAAGCAGGGGTACCCACACTTTATCAAGCCAAGATCTACGTTTTCACCAACCATTGAAACGAAGTTATGTGTGTTTTACGATTCAGAATATAACATTTGGTTTTATTCTTGATGTATTTGTGATTAATGATCAACTGATGACCATGTAGTCTTTATGCACAGTTTTTATGGATTATATTCCATAATTTGGACGTGAAAACAGCGATGAGCAGAACTCGAGGTTGACCAGAGTTTGAACAATGTCATTACTTTCTGTTGCGTATTCTGTTATTTGTTTTGTTCCCAGAGAAAGATTATTGCAAAAGGAACAAGCCACACAATGAATATTTGTAAGACAGAGACTGGTGATGTGACTAGTGGGTTAAAGGTTCTGCTAACGGCTTTGTTTCATTATTATAGGAAAAACCCGTTATTCTTGTATACTTTTGAAACATTTTCACATTTCTCACAGATTAAGGTAACACGTATATAAATTAAGAATTTCACTGGCTTCACTGTTTATGATTAGTTCGCAACCCCTTTACATATTGTGGTTTATCTGGTCACTCATTACCATTACGTATTAATTGTTCTGCTTTAAAAACATCACACAGAAACAACTGCAACATTTGAGACAATTGGTTCTGGTTTGGTTCTAACAGTTCTTTACAAATATTGCTCAAAAATATTCCCAACTTGTTCTGTTGTCATGATGGAAAATCCGCCTGATCAATGACAAACCATAATTCTCTAAAATATTTCCCATAAAATTCTGTGTATTTGATCAATTCAGCTTTGGCTGTTGAATCACAGTCTGTTTGATCATCATCAACAACCTGAGAGCTCAGTTAAGTAATACAAATGGAAAAGGAAAACTCTGCATGTGTGGTTGTTTACAGACTATTTATTATCTTAATAATCTTGAGCATCTTTAAGATTATTTTTCCTTATTTTGTATGCACAGGTTGCTCTATTGGTTGGAAACCTGTTAAATCTAAGCCTTTTTTCTTGACTTGTCATAAAACCCCATCACAAAACATTTCATCTAGGCGTGTCCCACACCTTACCTTAATTATAGAAGATTTATTGATGAGAAAAAGTCATGAATGCATTTGTTCTCTGGAAATGTTTAGATTAAGGCCTGATTTCAATCCTTCCATGTTTACTACGCTTTGTTACAACAAGTTACAGTTACCTTTAAAATCTCAAATCTTGCTGAATTCCACATGCCTTATTTGTTTATAGACTTTGTGTGTTTTATTAATGGGAGTTTGACCCAACAGCAAGACTGGTAGCTCCCTGCTTTAACATAACTCATTGAGAAATTATGGCATTTGCTTTATTTATTCATCCAATACAAAATGTATGGCAAACAACATTATTCCTTGTACAGTATTTCAAATGTGTTTACTGGTCATACAAATATATCAGGTGTTGATCTTAAGAAGACAATTTAAGTGCATACATTACAACTTGAAAGTTGAGCTGTAGAAGTGATTTTGTTGTAGAGAAAGCCCCGGCCAACCTTTTTCTCATCAGTGTAATTATATATCTCATAGCTAATTACACTGATAAAAACATCAGGAAGATAAAGTTAATAAACCATGAGCAGTGAGTCATCAGGGCATGCCTACTCCCTTCTCCTTTTCTTTGTTCACATTAGAAAAGACAACAGGATGAGCTCATCATACAGTGGCCTTATTATTTGAAGCCAAAGTATTCATTAACAGCCTGAAGTCCTGCAATGTGGACGAAGAGAGGAGCCAGGAAGCGAGATGGGAAACGGCAGTCGGCGAAGTACAAAAGGGGCAGCTGTGATGAGATCACATTGAAAGTGCTGTTCATGTCCATATAGAGACCCTGATTGAGGACTTCCTCTGCACGGTTTGCTCCGGTGTCACTGCCAGCAGATCCCTGATGCTCACAGATGAGCACTTACATGATGAGGCAGGAGTTGCCTCCATGTTTGGTGATCACATTGAGTTTTTGCCCATCATGTGCACGTTGGACTTGCTCCCTGACCTGCAACATGTAAAGGTGGTTGATAATGTGAGAATTCTAATTCAAATGCAACCACTTGGACAAAGCTGAGAATTAGGACTGTACACTTTACAACATTTATGATTCATTCATCGATCTCAATCAATGCTCTGAAGTAACTGAGAACATTCTCTGTTCTACCCTCAGTACAACATTCTTTTAAAATCATCTTCCACTCTATACTATCTGCAAACAACACGCAAAGTCACCTCTTTTTACCTCAAAAGGTCATTTACGTGAATTATGTAGATCTGTATAAAAATAATATTGGACTTAGGGGGTAGATGCTCAGGTTATCCTTTGTTTAAAGTAGTAGTACAGTATAAGGTTTGATGTTGCATTGTCTTCTTTCATATTGCATAGATTTGACCACTCTATAAATAACTAGGCACAGAACACAGAATTGTATAATAATCAACTGTTAAACAAAAGTAGTTGTACTGAGACTGTCTGCCCTGATGAAGACCCAAGTGGTCAAAACGCGTCAATGATTTTTTCTTTAATGTCAGTTGTGCCTCGGACCTTCTTTTTTCCCTTTATAGTTGTACTAAGAAGTTGTAACAATAAAATAAGTTAATACAAAATGCTTAGGCTATGTTCTGAAATGCAGAAGAATTCAGGAAAGCTCATTATTATAAGTTAAATACACCAAATATATATTCTTCCTATTTACTTTTGCTGATGCATTTACATGTCATTGTGTGTTTGCAGGAAATGCACTGCAGCAGGTGCATTCATGCATGGAATATTTTCCGTCCAAAATAATATTTTTACATGAACATATTAAAATGAATATTATGTTATTCACATGAGACGTTTGTTTTTGATTAGACCTTTTTCCAATCAAATGTGCAGGTCTATAAGACAGGTGTGTCAGCTCAGGTTTCTAATAATCTGCTTTGTCATCCCACGTAATAAATAATTGAAGTGTAGGGCGTGGCTGCAGGTGAAATAATCCTCTGGAGTAGTCAAAACAAACTGGTTACTATTCTATTATAAGTGTATGTCATGTTTTGATTACAACAAGATTATCAAGATGTAAAAATATTAACTCAAAAATATGACATCTTTTTTTTTCTATTGAGTTTTTCCCCCAATACAAAATAATGTCAGTGGATCCCAAAGACTGGTCCAGAGAATAAGACTGCTGTTTGCTTAGTAATAATCTCTCATCATTACTGGGACACATACTTAACTACTTTAATAATTGTGATGAAAATATATTAAAATTACACTTGAATTGCTCTTTGGTTCATTGTATCTGCTGCAGAAGAGTATATGTTATTGTTCTCTATAGCTGCACCCTGAGTGGATGCACTGTGTACAAACTTGTATTTCCAGTTGTTCCGTGCCCACGCCCAAGAACTATGTCTGTGGATTTGTGCCAAAGAGTTTATGAGAACCACGAAAACAAATACAAATCTATCCCAACTTTGATACTGCATGTAAGCTGCAAATCCTCCATCATATAAAGCATATTATTTTGTACAGCGCGTGACCTGTTACAGGGTGGACAGAAAGAGCAGAGGCATGGCAGAAGTTTGGAATTTAAGTGAAATTTGGCCCCATTAGAAACCATCTGATTTACCTCCCAAACAGCTGTCAACAGCATTAAAAAAAAAACATTGGAAGTAGGAGCCCCTGGTATAATACTGAGATCAATTACAATTTTCACTTTCAAAGGCAGATTTGCATGGTACAAAAAATCCAAAACAGTTATGAAACATCAGATTTTCTATACTTACATCATTCTCACAGGGAAAGCCGCCAAGAGCGATCTTAGAGAAGATGAGCTCGCCATTGATTGTGATTTCAAAGCTAGCTGCAAAATGAAACACAATATGTTCATAATGGTACAACATTATGGATGATATTTAGATTTTACCTTGTCTTCCCACAGAACCAGTCACCTCCGCTTGTGGAAACTCCTTCAGTATGCACTTACGGAGCTCCTGGTAGCGGGGTGCGTAACCTCATCTGCCACTAGGAAAAGAACAAAGGACATTATTATAACTCTCATATAGCCATGCAAGACGTAGATATTAAGTACATCATATTCTATGGTATTTAGGCTGTGGCAAAATCAGTGCAAAGTGTTAGTTCCTTAAAAGCAGGATTTTCTGTCACCTTTATTTGTAATGTAAGTAAGTAAGTTTTTATTTATATACCGCCTTTTCACTGCAGATCTGAGTCTCAAAGCGGTTTTACAATTGTTAATTTTGGGCATTTGTCTCTCACTCCACACAGAGATGGGAGCGGGGTCGCCAGTACAGGAGGCCAGAACTATTGGACATATTTTTAGTGGTAGGGGAAACCGGAGTACCCGGAGGAAACCTACGCAGACACGGGGAGAACATGCAAACTCCACTCAGAAAGGCCCTGGTCCGACCGGGATTCGAACCCAGGACCTTCTTGCTGAGAGGCGAGAGTGCTATCCACTCAGCCACTGTGCCGTAATACATACATATTTACCTTATTCCACATAATAATTGCAATTTCAGAAGTATACTATTATCTACTATAAAGGAGAAAAACAGAAAAGACTTACCAGTACTCCACCTCCACCTTGACTTTCACCATGTTAGCAGTGTTGTTTTGATCCTCCCTGTCAGAGAGAAGCCAGCGCCTGTGTGTGAGTGTGTCTGTGGCTCCAGGAGTGTCTGCTTGGTGCATTTAAAGGGAAGAGCTGAGGGCGTGTTTATGTCTGTGGACATTTAAATATTCATGATGTTCAAGCTATGGCAACAGTCCTTACACAACTTGTATAACACAAAGGGATTCTTGCCTGAGAGCTATGGATGAGTCAAAATCAGAGTCAAAGCTTTGAGGACAGAGAGGGTCAATTTTGCTTTGTTTTATGCAAAAGTCTGTGTTCTAATAAAAATCAATCTTGAACACTGTTTTGTTGGATGTTTTTCGTGACAGCTGTTTTGATTAGAGCTCTTAACTGTGATAAGCTAACGACAATGATGGATTACTTTCAACCTAACCACAAGAAATCTATTTCATGAAATCTAGTTTGGTTCCACGCAACACTAGCTTACACATACCAATATTTTTTGGCCTCTCTCACAACTTGACTTGAGATGAGATTTTTCAGACAGAAAAGTGAAAAAGTCAAGACCACCCTCACTGTCTTTCTTATAAACATGAAAAATGTAAAATTCTTTCTAATAAGATGATTTAATATTAATAATAGTAACAACAATAATAAGGCATCACATTTTATCAAGCTATTTTTTGGTCACACAAAGACACTTCACATGGCGTTATTCACACTCCTGGCACCATGGTGATACATAGCTGCCCTGGGACAGACGGACAAAAGTGAAACAACCAGCCTCTCCAACCACCACCAATCTTGCCCAAGGGCACAGCGACAGTTAAGTGCTTTTCAGCCGCAGCCGCCCCACTGTGGTGCCCAGCGTTCAGCCACGGTCTCCCATCAAAGTACTGACCAGGCCCTTCACTGCTGAGCTTCAGAGGGCTGACAAGATCTAGATTACACATGCAGGTGTCGCCACTCTTTGGACACTTCAATTTACTTTTACTCTTTCTCTTGAATAAAAAAAAAAAAAAGCTAATGAAGACTGAATTGTGAGATTAAGAGATCCTACAGGGGGGAAATTTCAGTGTTGCATCGCTAGTTACAGACAGTAGGAACGAGAAGCACACAGCACAAGATAAATTGAAAATAGCTATAAAATCTCCAACTCTAGCATAAAGAAAGCAGTAAAAAATCTCTATCTTTAGCCTAATCATAGCCTGGTCGTACCACACCATAGTACAAATTACATTTCGTAATGATAATTGAGCGGAGTGTACGGCTAAGGCCAGGCTAGAAATCTCCAACTTTAGCATGATGAAGAAGCAAGACGTAAATACACCTGACTTTAGCATAATAATAAGCAAGTATAAAACAAATGATGTATGTGAGGTTCCCCAGTCTGAGTTGTTTCTTCACCCCGATGATGTCAGCTCGGAGTTAAATGCATTTTTCTTACAGTGCTATATACTTTTTTAACCACTGAACCGTCGTCCCACAGCAGGGCGTGATTTCTCCTGGACACTCTGTTTATGTATCACCAACGACCTTTAGACTCATAAAATCATAAAACTGAAAATCCAAGCTTGAGTTTGTCCATGTAGCCATGAGGAGTGCCCACAGAGACCTGTGTTTGAGGAAAATAATGCTTGTTTTAAACTTTCGGATTACAAATGGAATGCGACATATCACGACAATGTGAGTTTGTTTTATCTCTCAGATAATCAGTTACACATATTTTTCGTTTGTGTTCTTTTCCAGTTGAGTTTTTCTTCATACCAAGACACTAAGATAAGGCTTGCATTCTAACTATACTGAGTTCTGCTGACTGCTACTACAAACTACTAACTCACCATAGATAATGTCATTCTACCGTAAATAGCGATTACTGAGCTGAAGGAGGACAAACACATGCAAACAGAAGACAGTCTCCCAACCAAATAACTCTTACGCAGGTATTTATGGTATTTATTTATCTATTTGACAGGGACAATGTAGTCATACATAGTTACAGCATGAAGGATGCAATCGATGCGACACATATGGGTGTGTAGCTAATGCTAATTTTCAACTCTTGCCCCTAATGAGCACATTAGATAGATGGATATATTGAGACACTTTATTCAAACTCAAGTGTCCAGTAGCAGCAGAAACACATAAATCCACACAAACAAAACTAATAAATAGATATTTCAAATAAATTAAATAGATTGAATAAAATAGAAAGATACGCAGACAACACGCAGACAACACACATTCACAGTGAAACAAACACACACACACGCACGCACACACACACACACACACATACACTGATTTGGTTCAATTAAAACAATCTTGTGGTTGTAAGTAACATGTGATCATATGTCCACTCATCACTTTCCATCTTTTAAAACAGACCTTTGGTCCAGTTAAAGAACCAAACCAACATGTGTCAGACACTTTAGACACAACATTGAAGGCATAAGATATAAACGGAAGGGCCGAGACTAGATTCAGATGAAGAGAAAGAAAATCTGGGCAGGGACAGTGTGTGAGGAGCTACTCTTTGGAACAACTTACCAGATTAATTAAAAACATGTTCAAATAGTATTCAGCACAAAAAGTATTTAAAAAGTACAGGGAGGAAAGAGGGTGATGCACTCAGCACAGTGCAAGTGATGGGAGTGAGGTATAGGGTCAGAGAGTGTTTGGTCTGAGTAAGTGCGTGTGTGTGCTTTGTATTGTGTTGTATGAGTGAGAGGGGTTCGAACTAAATAAGCACCTGCTCTGTTTGACCTTTTTTGTATGTGTATTGTAGTTTATATTTGTTGTACTTTGTTCATTGTTTTTTGACTTTTTAAACATAATTTTGTGATAAGTTTGATTACTTCTATTACGGCTACTATTACCGGGACCAGAATGACAATATATACATGCAGTTTTCCAACACCCCCTCTTTAAACGAACAAAAGAATCACCCAAGTAAAGTTTGATAAATGTCTGTGTTTTTAGGTCATGAGAGGAAAATGCCACAGCTACAGATCATCCTTCTGGGAGGTAGAAACTCAGGGAAGAGCGGCGTGGGCAACCTGCTTCTGGGCAAAGAGGAGTTTGTGGCGAGGGAGCGGACATGTAGCTGCAGGAGAGTAGGCGCCATGGGATCTCAATGGCTCACTGTGGTGGACACTCCGGGGTGGTGGTGCGATCTGTCCACCACAGACACCTCTGAGCTGGTCAAGAGGGAGATAGTAACCAGTGTGTCTCTATGCAACCCCGCTCCTCATCTTTTCATAATCGTGGTTAAGGCCAGGTCAATTTTCACCGAACAGCGACGCAAAGCTGTAGAGGAACACGTGCAGCTGCTGGGGCGTGATGTTTGGGACCGATGCTTCCTGCTGCTGGCCTTCAACCACAGCTGGAGGCTTACAAAGGCAGAGGAACACGTGGAAAGAGCGGGAAAAGCCTTGCAGTGGGTTTATGACAAGTGCGGCCGGAGATGTCACTCTCTTGTGCTGGATGAAGAACACTGCAAAAAGTAATACCAAATTAGTCAAAAACTGGGTAAAATCTATCATAATTTGAGCACATTGTGACTGCCTTAAAACAAGATTGGCCAATGGGACAGGCAAAAAGATCTTGTTTTGAAAAGATACACGAAACGTCTCCCTTGGAATGAGAAAATAAATCAAACTAAACGGCTATGTCCCATTGACTAATCTTGTTTTAAATTAAGACAGCCAGGATGTGCTCAAATCAAAATAAAAAAAACATTCGATTCAAGCAATTATTTCCATTTTTTCACAGTATAGCGCAGATCCCTGAGTTGATGGCGAAGATACGGACGATGGTAGCGGCGAGTGGGAGCATTGCGTTTGAAATGCCCGGAGCGATGTTGCTGAAGGCGACGGAAGAGAAGAGGAGGATGAAGCAAAGGGCACACTTCAGATTTGTGAAGATGAAGGAGCGACGGGCCACACAAAGAGGTGGGTTCATGGTTTGGTTGAGTTTCTGCAGATAGTTGAGACAATGACAAATATTACATCCATAAAAGCAATATTCAACTATGATACCATTACCAAAAAAAAGAACAAAAGTGCACATTGCAGCTTGTCCCCCTGGATCTGTCTGTAATTTGCTCAGCAGTCTGCAACATGATCTTCAACCTGGGGTGTCCTCCTGGGGTGTCCTCCTGGAGACGACCAGATGATACCGCCAGGCCAAGTTAGAGGTCAAATATGTGGGTGTAGGAACGCAGTATACAATATAGAAATACTTACACTGCAAAAATGTATAATATATGAGGTAATATTTGCTTGATTTGAGTGGTTTTTATCTTAATTTGAGGATATCCTGACTGTCTTAAAACAAGATTTGCCAATGAGATAAAGCCATTTCATCCCTTTTCCAGAACTGTTGATTTATTTTCTCATTCAATGAGAGAGATTTTTTGTAACTTGTGAAAATAAGACAATTTTGCGTGTCTCATTGGATTTTTTTTTTTTAAGGCAATCAGAATGTGTTTAAAATAAGATTACACCTTTGCCAAATTTGAGCAATTTGGCTTAATTGTCATCACTTTTTGCAGTGTAACTAAATGAGATGTGATAGTGTTTTACAGAATGAGAGAAAAGTTACACATTGCACCTTTACTTGACGACATAACAACAGTCAGATATTTTGAAACAAGACTTTGGTGACCGGCCAACCAGACAATCATATTATTTTGCATTTTGAGGAAGTATAAACCACATATGGGAAGTTATGGGACTCAGGGGACTTTACAAGTGGGAGTTTTCACCAGAAAACAGTCCAGGGATGAATTTGCATGTTTTTTGGGAAATAACAACTCGAGTTAGAGGAATTGTAAGAGCCATGTGATTTCTAATAGGAAGTTATTTAAAACTGGCAAAATCTATTAGGAATATTTCCTAAGAATTATACATATAAGAGTAGTGCAAGAAAAAAAAAATGGTAGTATTTTCTTTTGTGAACATGGTGTAAGTTCAATCTTATGTATGGAAGTAATAAGTTTATCTCATGTTACATTCATTTGTAAGTTGGCTGTGGTTTAGACAGGCTTCAGCTTACCAAATCAAATCAGTGTTATCTTTCAACAACATTGACACAGAGGAAGTGTTGTTCTTTTAAATGCGATACAAGATTGAGATCTCTTTTCCCTTTTTTTCAGCGAAAGTAAAACCCATGACAGAGATAAGGATCGTCTTGCTTGGAGCCAAAGGATATGGGAAATCTTCAGTCTTCAACACAATTCTTGGAAACAACCAGGAAAACAGCGAAACAACTCGAACAGCCTGTAACCGCGTCGGACAAGCCACTGTTTTTGGTCGACATGTGACGGTCGTCGATACCCCTGGATGGTGGTGCAATTACTACAGCCACGAAACTCCCATGTTCGACAAAAGAGAGATGGTTTTGAGCTTGTCCTTATGCCCACCCGGACCCCACGCCTTCCTATTGGTCATCCGAGTAGACCGTGCCTTTACCGACACCTACAGACGCGCGATCGAAGAGCACGTTGAGGTTATCAGCGATCGAATCTGGAATCGATTAATCGTTTTGTTTACTTTTGGAGATTGGCTTGGAAGCACCACCACAGAGCAGTACATAGAGAGTGAGGGGAAGCCATTGCAATGGGTTGTAGACAGATGCGACAACAGATATCATATTCTCAACAATAAAACCAAAGGGGATGGGTTTCAGGTCCGCGAGTTGTTAGGGAAAATTGAAGAGATGGTGTCGGCAACGGGGAGTGACTGGTATTTTGAAATTGAGCAAAGTGTAGTCAAAAATCTGAATCAGAAAATCACGCAAGAGGCCGAACAAGCGGAAGCAAGGAGGATGGTGAAGAAGGAGCAAAGGGAAGCGGCAAGGGCAAATCTGGGTGAGTCCAATTTTTATTATAATACAGGGTTCCTAAAGTGAAATGCTGCCTGACATTAAACTTCATTATTAAATACCAATAAACAATTGGAAGTTGATGGGAATGCAAGTGCTTGTAATGTCATAAATCTTGGCAGGAGAAAAAATTACAAACAAGGTCACACAATGTTGCTTTTTATTGAGCCATAAACAAGTGTTGCTCTCATTCTTGCATTACTCATAGTAATTAGGTGGAAACTGAACAGTGAAATACTCAAAAGTAGAAGTCTATGTACATAACTATCCGTCCATTTTCATTCGCTGTATCTGTTGCCGGGTTGTGAGGCAGATACAACCAGACTTCCCTCTCCATGCTCTGGGGGTATCCCAGGCCAGGCCTTGTCCTGGGGCTTGCATCCTCAACTCCTGTACCACAAGTAGGAGTAGTGGTGCTGTTGAATATCCTCTACTAGGATCTGGAGCTATACTACTACTACGACGACTTCTATTACTATATGCGCCCCGTAGCTGAGTGGGTAGCACTCTCGCTTTTCAGTAAGAAAGTCCTGGGTTTGAATCCTGTTCAAAACAGGCCCTCGTGTCTGTGCAGGTTTCCTCCAGGTGCTCCGGTTTCCCCTACCACTAATAACATGCACAATAGTGAATGGATGGTGTTGGTTGGAGGCTTTGGTGCCGGTGTGTTCAACGTCTCTCTTTCGTCAGCACCGTGTGGAGAGAATGGAAAAATATCTTAACTCTGAACACTGTAAAGCGCTTTGGGCTGTTTGACCTTGGTCTGTAAAAATGCGCTAAGTAAACATGAGTTACTTACCACTATCAACTTGCAACTAGCTTACAATTATTATTTAGTTCATACTTACCAGTAATACTACTTCTTTGCCTTACATTGTTGCATACCTCAGCCATACCAACCTGTCAACAATAAATGTTATGACTTATTTTCCTCAGATAACTTCACTCCTCTATCAGAGCTGAGAGTCGTGCTGATCGGTGGCAGCAAAACTGGAAAGAGCTCTTGCGGAAACACAATTTTTGCTCGAGGCTGCTTTAAACCCCAAACTCTGATGACCTCCTTCCACAAGAACAAAGTCAAATCAAGCGTGATGGTCACCGTGCTGGACACTCCTGGGTCATTCTGTGTGAACAATGAGCTTTTCAGAACCTCATCTGCTTTTCTAATAGTCGTGAATGTCACCTCTGCTTTCAAATATGTCCATTTGAAAGCAATAAAGGATCAGTTGGAGGAAGTGGGAGCAGAAATCTGGGGAAAAGCTATAGTTTTGTTCAGTTTCGGCGATTGCCTTGGGAGCACGGCCATAGAGCAACGCATCGAGAGCGAAGGGAACTTTTTACGAAGACTTGTGAATAAATGTGGAAACAGATATCATGTTTTGAACAATAAAAATCCATGTAAAAGACAAGTCCACGAACTAATAGATTTGATAGAGGAAATTACGCTTAAAGAGAGGCGGAGGAGTCTTCAAAACAGCGACTGTGTGACAAGGGAAATTCAGCAAAAGCAACAAAAACCTGAGGCTGTGTGTGGAATGGATTCACACGGCGAGAACTCACAACTGTCGTCTCATGATGGTAAGTAATGACACAAATTCATCTTGTGGCTGACACCTCATTAGAAGGTTTAGATACAGCAATAAAATGGTGATTCCACAGTGACAAGCTTGAAATGGTAATATCATGGATGCAGTTTTGACGTTGAAAAAAGCTTGTCATGTACAAAATACATTGTTACACTGACGTTCTTCAAATTTCATGATCTAAAAGTGCAATAACATTAGCCAAATCTTCTGACCTTCTTCTAAAACTTTTGAATGCGCTGGAAATGGCAGCAAGTCCTAAGTAGCTCTGAAGCAGTTGTTGTTTTGTGCTTTACAATTTTTACTTTTATACCTGAGATGTTGCTGCAGTACAGTGTTCATGGTTTTGCACTGGTCCAGACCTCTTCTGACCCGATCTATCTATCTACTGTATCCATCTAATATAAACTAATTACACACTTTTAAAAAAAACACCTATCACCAGCTCTAGATTTTCACCAGTCTAATTCCAATAGATACGCTTTGTCTTGCTTTGATATATCTCAGCTTGGTCCTTTACTGTGACGACATGCATTTCATTTTAAACAAAAAAGCGGCCCATTTAGACAACATGTCTACAGTGTCTCTTTTCTGAATGGGCCGCTGATGGGCAATTTCCCCTTATATCTTTATGTATATTGGAATAGTACAACTTCAATAGGGACTCTTGGTTAAAGCTGGGGTACCAAACTTTTGAAATGGCTACACTTTTAAATATAATAAAATCCATCTCTGGTTCCTTTCCCTCAAGGCATTTTGGTTCTATCGCTAGTTTTCACGTGCATGCATTTTTGGCCTCTGTCACATGTTCAGATCAGCTTTTATCAGGCGGAAAAGTGAAAAAGAGAGAACCACCATCACTCGGCCAATCGCCCTTCAGTACATTTCTTGCATGTACAGTATGCATAATATAAGATGCCTAATAAATAATACGTTTTGGTCTTATTCATCAACTAAATGTAATGTAATGTGATAAAATGTGGTGCAGATTTAAATAAGCAATGTATTTATTTAAATTTTTTTGGTTATTCTGTTTTTCTACCAATCCTATAATACACAAAAGCCGATCCAGAATGGCTGCTTGCTACTTGTAAATAAGACGCTATCTTTAATACTAAAACTGTCTGCATGCTGGTGACACTTTTGAAATAACATGACCATTTTCTTTGTTTAAGTTGCTGCCTCCTCGCTGACAGCTGCAAACGAAGCCAGTCAACTTGTACCGCATGGAAGAAGCTTCGATCGAGCACGTTTCCAGGATATCTGCAACTTCAGTGCGTCTTTGCCAAATGGTAAAAGGTTATCATGGACAGTGGCTGGACAAAACCTGGCTTCCAATCTCCCTGTATGGCCTTTTGGGGACGACACACAAATAAGAATGACGTCACGTTTTGAAACAATAAGTAATCCCGCCATTGTTTTGTTCCTACCTCGTCCGCAAAATAGAATAGAAGAATCGATCAACCCTGTCCGCTCCTTATGCCACCCCATGTTGATCGAAAGGACGCTGCAAAGGCTCACTCAAACTGGGAATCTACAAAACATCATCGACCAATGGGGTGACAGCAGCTTACAGGAACTTGAGGCGTTTATTGACATGTATTTTGAAATGGTCTGGGGGCAAGCCATGGAATCGTGTCCAGAGGAGAGTCCGAAAGAGGAAGCAGTAGAGCCGGTGGGAGACGTGCTCGCATACATCAACAAGAAACTGTCGAAACTGGACGTCCTGGAGGATATTCAAGAGGATCTGGTGGAAATCAAGAAGGCCATAGAGGAGATGAAAGGGAAATTATAATTATCAACTTTTTTTTGTGAAAGGACACCAGAATGTAAAAGCTTGTGTGTGTTTATTTGAAGTGGGCAGGGGCCTACAACGCACTAGATTTGCTGTTTTTGAAAGAAATGTGAAATGTTTCAGGAAAGATTTAATAAACTATATCATTAAACTCACAGCTAAAAGTCCTTTCAACATAAATCACATTTAGGAAGTTTGGATGAGGACGCAACACAAATTACAACAGACTTTAAACACACAAATGCAACCTATTTATACAATTAGTGTATACTACCACACACACAGAACATTTTAGAATTTTGTTTTTGCATTTGTTTGATTGGCATGTTTTGGATGAAACAAAGTAAATCTGTCTCATGTCAAATTAAAACATTTACAAACATATTATTATTCATTGAACTGATCCACTTGCCCCACACTCGACTCTAACCCTGCTTCCAAATTCAGCGGACATAGCTCCTGCCTTGTCCTTCCTTGTGCTCCAAGTGAAATGAAAACACGTTTTTGATATATTCTGATGCTACTTAGGTCATGTGTTATGCCATTTAGGTCAATATAAAAGAAGGGCAAGGAAGGATAAGGAAGGAGGATCTTTAGAAATGAATTTGGATGCAGCCAAAGAGCCACAGCATGTGTTGTAATATTTGTCCACAAGAGGGCAGACTTGCACAAGAACAGATTTGGACATTACAGTAATATAATTCCATGCTTTGGACAAACGCTGAGGAGCATAAAACAAAAACATTTCTTTCAAAGATCTTGAAAGAAGTAGAGTTTTAATGTAGCACTTGATTCATTTGAGTTTAAAGTTATATTACATTGTCTTAAAGATTTATTAAGCACTGTCTTGTAATTCTTTTTGAGGTTTAGTTTTCTCTGAAGGAAGTTTTATAAGACCTCTGAAGTTTTAAGTATGAAGAATACATACAAACATCTTTCTGCAAAAATATACTCCATGTGTTCTGTGTTTGAAGAAATAAAAGGACTTTTTCCTTGTTTTTTTATATCTGCAAAGTAGAACCATGCTGTGACCAAAGATGAGATCTGACAGATTATGACGTGACTGGTCCGTCTTTTATTCTTCTTACGTTACAACAGTTGGGTTGGTATACTTATCATAACAAGATCAAATATTAAAAATCATCTGATGAAGTGGTTCACAAAAATGCTCTATTTATATATTTCTGCAGCTCTCATTATTTACCCACTTTGACCAACTTTTACTCGATTCATATATCAAAATCAGTTCTGGATGAGCGTTTTAAATGTCTTAATGGTGAAAACACTGTCGATGTATCTACTTTCATAGATCACTCCTGGATAAATGAGAGATTTAAAAACACAGATACTCACCATACAGTATTGATCCTTTTCTTGGTAAACATTTCTATAATAAAAAGTAATAAGTAAGTAAGTAAGTAAGTAAGTAAGTAAGTAATCTTTATTCATTTTAACATAACAGTGGCAGGTATTGGTACAAAGAGAGTCACCAATAGCTCCCTATCACATTGTCATCCATTATCAGTCATTTATAATAATAACAAAGTATATACATGTAGCCACTCTCTTATCTCTGTGTTTCAATACAATACATCATCTCTTTTCCTGAGTTGGGATCATCACACAGCCCCACCTCTCATCAGCAGCAGCCCAGTTCCCCCTCCTCTCTCCAGGCTGTTCGGAAGACAATCCTATCCCCACATCCATCTCCATTAGTGGGACAGAGCAGCGACTGAAACACCCCCTCCACATAACCCCCCATTACCGCCCACTGCCCCCCGGGTCACATTTCACTGCGTGCTATTTTTCCAGGTGGAAGCAAAAAAGGCCAAATAAGATGGGTGGGTAGAGAGCAGGACATTACACAAAGTTGTATGTTATTTACATTGTTAGAACACTTTCTTTTGTTTTTGTTTACCATTTAAACTTTCAAGCGTTTCATGCATCTTCCCTCGCTTTAATTCAGTATGAAATTGCAATAACCTTTTAGTGCTATTTTTGTGTTTAGTGAGTTATGGGGAGCTAACTGAAAGGCACACTGGAATGATTAGCGTCTAAATTGTACCTTTTTTGGTCTTCTTTATGCCATAAAAGTAATTAATTTGGACTCTCTGTAGTCAGGTGAAGTTACAGGTCATATTTGTGAAGAGTTGACCCTACTTATTTCTACATTTTCAAATATTCAAACAAGTGATGGAGAGGAGGAGGCTTGTGGCAAGAGCTGAAAGCTGAGTGAAGATGAAGCAAATTAATGCAACCAGGTGAAAGATGATTGACTGATTGGCTGAGGCACATGAGGGAGCAGGACTGGAGTGAAGGAAGGTGCCCATTCGAGGTTTTAGTCATGAGTCTGATCTTTTGCCCGAGCTTTAGTGCAGGGCTGTAATAAATTATTATTGGTTAGTAGGATGGATCCAAAAAGCTTTTTAAATTTGACCGAGACGACTTGTTACACATTAGGTTGTTTGATTAAAAGCACATTTTCATTGTCATAATAATAATAATAATATGGTTAATAAGGCATCAGTTTTATGTAACACTTTTTGGACACTCAAAGACGTCATACACTGAGGTATTAAATTACAGTAGCCGCAGTTGCCCTGCACCACCAGACTCATTCTAATGTGGGCAAAGTGTCTTGTCTGAGGACACAGTCACATTTTAACGCCGCTCCACTGTGGCACCTGGTGTTCCCAGAGGTCTCCCATCGTAGGTCTTACCAGGCCCTGCCCCGCTTTTCTTAAGAGTTCTGACAAGATTTGGCTTTCGCATGTAAGTATGGCCCTATACTTAGATTTGTGAAGTCTTGGTCATGCTAACAAACAATTCATATTTTGCTATATGTTCAACTAATGAAATAATTTAGTTGATTAGTTGCGATTACTTGATTCACTTCTTTGTTAAATAAAAAAAACAAAAAACAATACATGTTTAATTGTACAGCATTATGCAAACCATTCCAAACAAAGCACCGTCAGACGTAATCAGTGTCGCAACATATTCAGAGTGGCGTTCACCATCTAAAAATGCAAATCCGTTCAGATTCAAACTAACAATTTGTGGTTATCTGTTTTTGTCCTCTTAAATAGTGTTATACCTCAAGTCGTCATTCTAAAAAAGAACTGCACATACTGTAGTTTCTCTCTCCCTAATGCACAATGCCTTATCCTGCCGCGACACAGTGATGTCCCTCGAGGCTGATGTGAGTCTGGACCAGTGCATCGCAGCAGGACTGAACTTTCCAACCCTCATGTAGCCCATAAACCAGGCTCTGCAGTGACCCCAGAGATGCGGAGGTCCGCCATGGAAAGTACAGCTCGCAAAAGCACTCTCAGATGCTGGTCGTTGTAAATGGATATATTTGGTTTGGATTGTTGAGGTAGAAAAACTTAAGTTAGGCCCCTACTGTGTTAAACAATGAGGGGGGAGTGAGGAAAGAGGAAATCAGGAGTCACGATTTTAAAGTGAATGTCATTGGTACAAATTCAAGACAGAAGCTAGAGGATGCATACGGATTACTGGCATAGAATTAATGTGAATATTAGGAGAAAGTTCTTGCCTATTCTTCTTGTCTTCTACTGTATTGGACAAAATTGAAGGATTGCCTAATTATCGTCCGCATACTGGTGTCGGAACACTTGTAACAGATGACAGGAGGCCCCATGATCGTGGTGGCTCCAGTTCAAGCTGCTTTAAAACATGCATAGAAACCTCTGGAACAGTTTTTGTCAAATCATTTTACACCTATCTCCAAAGAAACAACTGTACCTACCAGTTCTCAAGGTGTCATACTATAGGACAGCACTATGTATTCCTAATGTGGGTCCTAGTGTGAAATATAGACTTTAAATTCAGTAAATAAACTTCAGGCGTGAAAAAGAAGTAGCCATACCACAGTTTGGGAAACACAGATTTTGGTTATATATTCCCTGATATCTGAATAAGCAAAACAAGATCTTAAAAATGCAATTAACTTTAATATGTTGTCTCTATTAGTGAGCTACATTTAAAAACTCAATTCAGATACTTGTAATGTAAAAGTCTGATCTCTCTCGCTCTCTCTCTCTCTCTCTCTCTTGCTCTGTCTCTCTCTCTCTCTCTCTCTTGCTCTCTCTCTTGCTCTCTCACTCTCTCTCTTGCTCTCTCTCTTGCTCTCTCACTCTCTCTCGCTGTCGCTCTCTCTCTCTCTCTGTCTTTTCTGTCTGCCCAGGCGAACTAATAGCCTACTAGAACCAGTTAGGAGATAAGTCAAACTGCAAAAATACCAATATAAATATTTTTTTCTCCTTGACCATAGAAAACCCATTCACAAAGAAAAGTGAAAGTTATGTAATACACCAATGTGATAATATACAATTCCGGACTTTTATCAACTAAACCAATGCACTGTTCTAATCTGTCCCAATATACTTCCCCTTTAAGCTGCATCCAACATTTATGCTATTTCCCCAAACAATGCTTTCAGCACATGTTTGTTCTTTCGGTCATAATTTATGGCATTTCCAGTGTACAGTTTGTGGTCTTTGTTGAAGGCGGCGGCACCTTCTGGACACAGTTAATGCAAATAAAGCCGGACTTGGAGAGACGCCACGTGGAAGAAATCTCGCCAAGACAGAAACGATTCAACTCTCAGAATATGTTTAGTGAAGCCAAACGTCGGTCAGGTCTTCACAAGTCACTCACACTTTGGGCCAATGTCTCACTCTCCATCAGTGAAGTGAAAAGGTCGGTTCAGAGTATCAGAAAAGTTGGCGCACAATGAAAAGTATAGTAAGTATTTTTATTCATATAATGCATTTCACAGACCATCCATCCATTCACTCACTCACTCACTTATTCCTTCCTTTTGTGCATGTTATATATCCTTTATGCTATCCTCAGGTCAAAATGACACTTTAAAATGATTAAAATTTGACCCTTTAAGACCCTAATTTGTGTAAATGACCCAAGGCTGATCAAGATAGGAAAAATCATAAAAATACAGCTCAATTATTGTTTAA